CTTTCCCTAATAAAATGATTTCGATCAATGGAAACAATCCTCTCGACGACCAATCACTTAGCTCCATCTGCTTGCTTCGTTCTTCATCCAATTTAAATCCTTTCTTCACTGATCGTATCAAAATTCTAACACGATAACATACGATTGATCATCGACCTACAACACGGAATTTCATTCTTTCCTGTCGAACACATGTATACGCTTCTCGACGATATCAGGAACAAGAGGGAAATCGTCAACAATCGAAGAACACTAGGATCCCTAATGGTCCCTGTGACTCATTTAAACCACACCACCACTACTCCTCCGTCGTTCACGCAAGAAGATTTCAAGTGTCAATACGACAAAGGAGAAACAGAAGAGTTGAATTGTGTGCCGGTTAGTGACGATCGGTCGAAAGCTCCGCGTGTCTACACGTCGAATACAGAAAGTGTACTAAAATGTTGACGAGGCACGCGGGTTCACGATCGGCTGGCGAGCCTCCGCGTGTTTCACATGCCGACGAAGAAGTGGCCGACCGTTCTCCGTGCGCGGGACAATTATAATGTTAAACCTACGGTCTCTCTACCTCCCTCTTTTCTTTCTTCCCTTCTTTCTATTTTACGTTCCGGCCGGTGCACCGGTTCTAAGGTGCCGTGGCTGTTGCCCCGTCAATGAGCCATCGAACTTCCATCACGATACGCATCGAGCATCGTGATTAATTCTGCATACTTGATATTGTTTGTTCAACACCCTCCTACAATGGAGATCGCGCATGCTTTTATCTCTAATAGATCATTTTTATTCGCGATAAAGCGATTAGTTTTTCAACGGTACGGAAAGAACTTTTACAAGTTCACTGAAAATGTTAAATTGTCCATAAAATTTAATAGACGGATTAAACGAGACCGGAGCAAGCAAAAGGTCAATGACACGCCGTAAGAAAGTATTGGAAGAAAGATTGATTTTTAATAGCGAATAATGCCTTTTTGTTTCTGATGGGGTAACGTGGATGAAATGTCGAGGAGATATGGAGAATTCAAAACGAAAGAAGCGCCTTTCTTGCTGTGAATAATACATGATGCGGAGCTGTTCGAGTACTCGAAATTCGAGCCGAGTAAAACTCGTTTTGTACAAACCGAGCTGAGTACTTTTAGCTACTCGGTTATTAAGCTATTCGAACATTTGACTAACCAATTTCGTTCAATTATTAGAATGCAATTTAACCTTATCTTTCTTTGTTCTTTCTTTAAATATTTGACAATAATACAATAACAATGAAAGTGAGGTTATGAAAGTGCAACGAACCTTGGACATCGATAACTTATCGATAACTTAACAATGACACCGTTTCGACAATGAGATTAGAGCTTACGAAAATCATATTTCAGCGTACAAGTTTTTAATTCACTTATTCTTTCTTTTTTTTTTTGTTATTTGTGTAGTATGACTTAAATGACGATGAATGTCGATATTCGGTTGATAATCGTCAATAATGGCTCCAATGCATGATGCAGTCGAAAGAGGCGACAAGAAACTCGAGCCATCTTTAAATACAGATAGCTATTCATTCAAGTTTAGCTTCGAGGTCAGACAAATGTATGTACAATAAACAAGTTCACCACGTATCGTAAATGTGCTACAACCGATTATTATTGCCTTGCTTCTTTCTTTTTGTCATTACTTGTTACTAAATAATTTTCAACTTTCCATTTCAGAAAAAAAAAAAATTTGAAATTATTCATATCATTAAAAATATCGCATAACCCTGCGAGAAACTTCCATCGTGATTGTAACTTTCTTCTACAAGTATAAATGGTCCTACCTTTCGGGAAGAAAGTAAAAGACATAGTCAGACAAGATGTACACGCTATTATTGCGTTACTACTAAGATCAGTATATACGCGACAGATATGATTTCACCAAGTCGTGTAGAATAATAGTTTAATGTTACATGACTAAAGAAAACGAGCCGGTTGAGAGCACCACATTACTGCGACTGGTAGAAGATGTGAAACATGTTACTGCTATATTTCCAAACAAACGATATTCTTGATATTTGTTTCATACCAAAGATTTTGTATATTCGTATATTTGTAAATAATTAACATGGCTAAAAATAATCGGAAAAAGTTAGAAATACTTTAAAATATATTATTTCTGTTGCATGTACAACAGATTCAATGTTTGGATGCAAGAGAGATGAACAGTGTTCAGGAAGAAAGTTTAACTCTCGGAAAAGATTTGTTTTGATTCCTCCTGTTTAACTTGAGATAGCAATTTAAGACCGTGCTATTTAGACCACTTGCGTTCGGCTGAATAACTAATGGTGATAAGTGAGACGAAACATTACTTCGAACTAAACTGTAGAACCAGCAGACTTTACGATGTTATATTATACATATGAGTATATAACGGAAATAAGAACAAAATTTTACCTTTAACTTCTATCAAAAATATAAAAGAATCAAAAATAATCTTTACAAATGATCATTTAAAGTGATATCTTAAATCTCATGCACTTATCACGTATTATACACCAAATAAAATACTCATAGTTAAGAATAAAACCGTGTCATAATATTCTTATCTAATATTTACAATAACAGGAAATCATCTATTATCACACGGAATGTGTGTACACAGTATGAAAACGTGTGAATATATCATATTTTACATAATATTTTCATCAAATATTTCTGTTGACAGAGTTTGTACAGAATAAAAATAGTACGAACTGTACGTTACAAAAAACTAAGAATTCTTCGTAAATTCATTGCAGAGTGACAGAAATCAAAGGTACATGAACTCTAAGAGTATATAGATCAATCATAGAATAAAGAGAGTAATAATACAATATATGTGGTTAAATTAAAGCGGCTAAAACTGTTTCACCGAGTAGTTGGTAGGTTAGGTCGGCTGCTGTATTGACCGGGCAGTTACAGCGCTGTGTATTGACGCAAAAATTTGGCGCCCTCAAAATGGTTGTCTTTGCGTGCCATCGAATTTCTACGTCTCATAGATGTTGAAGAAAGCTTCTGACTACTCACCTCTTCTCTGCATCGTTTCACCAGATCGTTACGACTCATTAAACATAGCTCTACTGATCGAACAGCGTGAAAAGAATTTTAGCAGAACACCACCGACGTATCCATCGACGCGACACCAATACCCTGTCAACACAACCAAGCACTCGTGCCTTAACCCAGCCGGACCGCTGTATGGCATGCGTTTTCAAATGATCTCGAAGAGAGTCGAATGAAAATCGAGATATGCGTGCGCAGAAACGTGGTTATGTTGACGGTTCAACTATGATTAAAGAAGCAATAACTTTTTATAAACAATTGAATGAAGATTTTAATCTAAAATAGTTCGTTTTATTTCAAATGCTCCGTAAAATATTTAGTACTGAAATATTATATTTGTGTAATTTAAATTGGTATATTAATTAATAATAATTAGTATTATTTTTTAGCGAAAGATACATGTATTTTATTCTGCTATAAAAAACAAAACAGGTTGTATAAATAGTTTTAATAAATATCTTTACTTCTTGTCTCTGCCTATTAAAAAGGTACATCACTTAGTAATACCTTTTAATTATTCAATTATGCAATTAAAACGTTGAGCACTACTTTCACGAAGTAGGAATATTTAAGTATGTTCATTTAGGAACTATAAGATTGAAATGTTGGACATCTTGCTTTGCGTGATAAAGAAATAAGTAATTTTGATAACAAGTAAACATTGATAAACAATGTGAAAAATCAACAGTTAATTTATAACTAATATAACAATTAATAAAAAGTTAAGAGTAATATGGCTAAATTACCAAAAATTGATATTGTAAATGCTACTAAAACACATAGTGCTAGTCTATTCTTATTTCATGGTTCAGGTATATTTATATTCAATACAAACATATATATATGCATATATAATATGTATAAACACACGACCCGTTTATATGCATACGTGTGTATGTATATATGGATATACATTTGTAAATATTTATTACTTCTTATATCAACCAATAGATAAAAATTAAAAATAATCTTTTACATTTTTATTACAGGAGCTACTGGAAGCAATTTTAAAGAATGGATTGATATTCTAAATAGGAAGGAATTAAAATTTCCACACATAAAAATTATTTATCCTACTGCACCTCTTCAATCTTATACACCTAATAATAGGATGGTAACATATTGATATCATAAATTCAAAATAATATAAAAAGGAATTATAATTACAATATATATAAAATAATTGTTATTTTAGTCTAGCCATGTATGGTTTGATCGTACAGGTATATTTATTGAGGCACCAGAGGACACAGAATCAATAAATTCAATTTGCACAACTATTACAGAATTTATTGATAATGAAATTTCAAATGGGATTTCATGTGATAGAATCGTTGTTGCTGGCTTTTCAATGGGTGGAGCCTTATCAATGTATTTATCATATAAATACAAATTATCTTTAGCTGGATGTTGCGCTATGTCCAGTTTTCTTAATAAAAATTCATTAGTATATCAAGTATGTATGTTAAATTATTTGCTTCTAAATTATTTTTATTAATATTAATATATCTGATGCATTTTTCTTATTTTTCATTACCAACACACAGCATTTGAAAAAACATAAACAAGTACGTATGCCACCTCTTCTGCAGTTTCATGGTGTTGCAGATAATTTAATTCCGATACAATGGGGTGAAGAATCTTATAATAATTTAAAGGAGCTTGGTGTAAATGCACAATTTGTACCATTAGATAATGTAGATCATGAATTAAGTAAAACTGGGATATTATCCTTCAAAGAATGGCTTACAAACATTTTACCAGAGAAATAATTTCTCATTAATTTGATAATGAAACTTTATACCATTGTAAAATATTGTAATACATTATACAACCATTGTAAAAATATTTTTATTAAATAAATAAAATATAAATGATTGATAAAGTGATTTAGAAATATTTATTCTCGCATTTAAAGCTACAAAAGATTTGTTTGTTCTTAGAATAAAATCTTGCATTACTTAATAATATATAACAAAACAGTTAAAAGAATTAAAATAAAGGGAATAAAAAGGAGTGTAAAAAATATAGTGATAGTAACTTTTATTTTTTTGTATGAGATGTGGAAAGACAAATAAGCACCACTGAGGAGAAAACATCGACGAATCATAAGCCAGTGTCTCGAGGGGTCGTGAGAAAGTGCTGCGCCCCACAAGGTACGGAGAAGTTCGAGGGTAGTAACGCATTCGACACACTGGCCTCATATACTGAATATAACCCATATATTAACGAATATACAACGAACAAATAAGATTTCTTTTGTGTTGTAGTTATTCTTTTGAAGATATATAAAAAACTGGAGATTAAAATTATTACTGTGTTACTTCTTATAGATCAATAATTATAAATCGCGATGGTATGCAAATATTGTTGAGACTAAAAGTGATAAGCGTAAAACCTACCCCTCGGACTTGTTACATATTATTGCACGTATACGAATTTACTTCAAAGTGCGATTGGAACGTGTATAGATCATTCATACAATATTATGAAAATATTATTTCATTATAAATAAGTGAGTTAATTTATAACTAATTAAATTTAACCTTTATAAATTGTTAGATGACACAATTATTAAAAACTAAATAAATTTAATTTAAAAATATGACAGTGACATTTGTAGATATTACATTGACATTAAATAGCATAGAAAAAAGAAATATTTTAAAAACTCATGGTGTGAATGCACAATGCATCGACAGTAAATAATATGGCGCGCCTTCATCTGCAGTCAATGACGTCAATGTAACAGAACAAAAGAAATGTGAATGATTTGACTTAAGAATTGAACAAAATGCATATATTTTTAAATACAAAGTGTATAAAAATTTCGTTAAAAAATTTACGAACAAAGATTTTAAAATCATAAAAAATTGTGAACTGTAACAAAACAGTGTTTGTCAATAATTAAAAAAGTTAATTAAAAAAAGAACGTATATGATGTTATCGAGTGTTTCGTAAATTTTATCGCATAATAAGTAAACATTATTTTCTTTGACTATTCAAAGGACGAATTCTTACGTTCATCACTCTATTATTTAAAAACCGCACTGCGTCTGATGACATCGATCAGCGAACGTTCCGGGAAATTTGAATTTTCAATCGATAAAATTCGATTCCATTAGCACAGCTGATTAAGACAAAGCAAAATAACAGCAAAAAAAGAAAGTAAAAAAAGAAATGGCTCCAACCAATATACATGACGAGGAGGAAAATATATCAAAATTAATATTCCGTCGATGTGAAAAATCGATCAGGGGATAGGACTAAAGTTGCAGAATTTATTTCTATCGTAAAAAGAAAACAAAGCAGCGATAAAGAAAAAGAAAATAGAAAAGGAGACCGAAATGTATTGAGCCAACGAATGTTTCCAATTGAGAAATAGAAGTATCGAAGGCGAAAAGCAGCAGGTTGAAGTTAAGTGGGGAGATATTAAAATGGGTCAAGAGTATCTCCACGATGACAGTGTACGTTGTTCGACTTAACGCTCGATGCCTTCGTAAAGAGATCCTCCTGCGAGCTTGTCGCGAGGATCATTAAGACCACGATATATTACTGTCACAGTTTCACACAATGTCATTAACAATGAGTTTCAAATTCGTTCAATTTAAATTAATTTCGAACGCATGATATATCGTGATATATCATACCACGGCCGAGGAAGATCTACGATATAATTTAAGAAATAGAAAAAAGAAATAATATTGTCAACGGAATGGTCATCTTATCACATTGATGCCGATTAACTAACGCACCGCTTACAATTAGCTTGTCTAGTTTCTTGGATAGTTATTAGTTTAAATCGCACGATGCGATACATTATAAGCAACGATTATCAACATAATCAGTTTACGTCCAAACATTGTTAAAAGGTCAGAGGAGATATTTTTCTGTGAAGTTTAAGAAAATTATTTTCATGGTGTACGGATCACGCAAGATTACGGAGTCTGCAACCACCACGGGGACGACTTGGCTATACAACATTACTACCCAAGGTAATTGAATAAGTTTCTTCTTTAATTTAAGTTTACTTTCTTAAATATTTCATTAATCATATCTTCACAGACAATTCTTTAATTAGATTTTTATTCCAATAATCTTGCGCATAATTAATCTAGGAAAAATGCTACAAATTTGTAATAAGAATAAAGTACGTATAAAAATCTATCACAAAAAATATATTTCTTATACAAATGGTGAATTTATTAAATTATTTATTATATATAATACATTGAAAATTAAATCAATAAATGTTAAACGAATATCATTGATAACTTAAAAGTCAAACATTCAAATAATTACTAATTTCATTACAGTTGATTTGTTATTTATTAGAAAACTTATGTAATATTCCGACTTTCTACATGAAGTAAGTAATCTATGAACCTGAAAATATTGAAATGACTGACCTACTAGCTGTGATATGTCAAGATTACCGTACTCTTCTCACTTTCACCTTGCTTTACTTTCTGGCCGATAACGAAATTTATTCTGTTAGCGTGAGAGAGAGAGGGAGAGAGGGGGGATGGAGAGAGAGAGAGAGAGAGAGAGAGAGAGAGAGAGAGCGGGGCAGCGTCAAAATTATTTCTCGAATGTGATAATCAATGCATGATATAGTATAAAATATATAAAATAAATGAAATATAAAATATAACAATTACTTATGTCATTAATATAAAAAGAAACAGAAAGAAAAGGAAAAGTATTTTTAGAAATACAATTAGAAATACAATGACTGTGGTAACAAATAAATAACATAATAATTTAGTTTCAAATAATGTTAGAATGCTCGGCAAGCAGCAATAATATTTTACTTACAGTAAAATTCATAGCATAAAATTGGAATATTGCCAGAAATACGTACGTTACTATCGCTATTTACTCCGCATTGCGGATTGATATATGTTAATTGCGTAAAAGGACATGCGTTTACGGGTAATGTTTGATTGTCTTCCTAAATATGTCTCATAAGCGAAGAGGTATAAAAAATGCCTAATATTCGAACTTTATTTTTATACTACTAACAATGAGACTTATTTTAAAATAATTCATGAAAACATATGTACAAAATGTAGGTGTAATTAATGTAATTAAAATATAAATGTAATTAAATCGTAGCATAAATTTTCTTAAGATAAAGAACAACTTTAGAAAGACTAAAAGAACCAAATGAACGAAAAGAATAATAATACGGAAAAAAGAGTTATTAAAAAAAAGATTTAGATAATCTTTATTGTTATGTAATGTTATTTTATTAATGAGACTATCTGAAGCATTGTGCATAAGTTTACAGGAAATTATAAAATGAAGAAATAATGTTTATAGGTGAGATGAGCAGCAGCGGTGGGTTAGGATTTGGCGTCGGTGTCGGTGTCGGCGTCGCCGGCGGTCCAACCCTCGCATCCGCTCAACAAGGCCAAGGAGTAGCTGCTCTCCTAGTGATGCTTGCTGTGCTCTGTTTTATATTCGCTTATTGCTGCTGGGGTGCTCCGTTCTGCAGATCTTTGTGTAGACGGCATTGTTGCTGCCGACTCGAGGATCCTGAACCAGATTCACGGTTTAGTAATAACGATCAAACGATGGTAGCAACGCCGACGATTATTCTCTTGCCACACGGTAGAATGCTCGTTGTGGATGGTGCAATCTTCACTCAATTTCAAACCGACCCGACTGGTGAGTTTGCAATTATATAATTAAATTTTAGCCCTCTTTTTTAAAGAGAAAAAAATTGTTTTGTCAAAAATGAATTCATGATAAAGAATTTCCATGTTTTTGTTGAAACAGGTTTAGATTTGGTGGAACTAGGCGATAGTGTACTACGCGCTCAAAGAAATTCACGAAGCATAAATCGACATCAGTTACAAAACAGTCAAGGTAGTATACTTGAAATGGATGCGGAAACTCCAAGTAAAGATAGCTTAGGATCTATTGGGTGTTTTCCACCACCGACTTATGAAAGTATCTATGGAAAGGAAGAGTCGGACATGCCACCATCGTATTCAGATATCTTATTACACAGGTAAGTTTTATTTATAATAATGATTGCGATGTGTTTCATGATAAATTTGGTTATTTTTTTATTAGGTTTGCCAATCTTCCTCATGAAATAGATATGCATGGTTATTGTCACGATGATAAAGAAGAAATTGAAATGCAAAGCCTAGACAGTTGTCCACATATATTAAATAATCCAATGAGTACAATAGCATATCCTTATGCTACAGTAACGAATTTTTCAAGCCAAAGCTTTCCACGAAGAAACGTCTCAAGAAATCCATCGATCATTAGCAATCCACTTGATAGTTATTACGTAGATAATGAATTAGAATTATACCGATTGAACCAAGAAATGGTACCACGAGTATTTAGCAATGCAAACTTCGAAACTCTTAGTACTTATCAAAATGAAACTTCGTTTTATATTGCGAACGGAAATGAAAGCGAGCGACAAAATGATACATTATTGAATAATGGAAATTATTGCGCGCCCAATAATAGTATTCGAAATAACGAAAGGATACTTTCAAATAGTACCGATGATGTATCAAGGAATGTAACATCAGCGAATGAGGTAATGAATACAAGAAATCTGGTTCGGAGCATGTCGAGAACTAGTCAAGAAATAACAGAATCCTGCAGAAATAATGCAGAAAATTCACAGAGAGATAATCAAGAGACTGGTGTAGTTTTTGTTCGATTACCTCGTTCTGAAGATCGCAATAACAGCCACGCTTCACAAAATTGGTATAACAACACAAGCGAAAACGATAGATCCAGAGTAAGTCAAGAAGATCAAGCTAGTCTGAGAAATATACATTCCACAAACAACGAGGTGGATGAAACTAATCACAACATGGAATCTAATTCAATAGGATATTATATTAGAAACCAAAGTACTGATGAAGCTATTGGTAGATCACATAGATTGGAAAACGAATCAGCTTATTCTGATGAAGAGACTAGAAATTTTGGAGCATTAGCAGACATTCGTGAAAGTCGAGTATAACATGAGATATAATACTGAAAATGTATGACAACAATCAATAGAAAACTCTCTGACCAACATATGTTTATAATTACTTCCTGTTGAAAATCTTACAATCTAAATGACAACATATTTTATTAATGAAATACTTTGTTTTTATGAAAATTAATTATTTTAATTCATTTCTTAAATTATTTCACACTATTTACACTAAAATTTGATATAAAAATCTGCAGTTGAAAGTAATATTGTTTAATATACAAGTGTAATTCAATATTTCTTCAGTTGGTTCCTAATATTATAACGAGCTTTAAATTTGCTTGTACACAAACATATAATTATAACATTTAAGAATGCCTATAAAAACGTGTACAAACAATTTAAATGATCTAAGAGAATAAACAAATTTTAAAGTTATGAAGATACTTTTACATGCAAAAGAAAAAAGATACAATCAATTTAATTGTGGCACAATAATGGAAGAAAAATGATAAGATAAAGTTAGTTCAGTCCGTCCAAGGGTTAATCTACACACTAAGTTCAGTAAACGTTAAGAAAATAACCACCATAAATAAATTCCAATATTTTTTATGTGTAATTAGTAATCTAACCAGTAAACTATTTATTAAATATTTGTTTTTTATATTATTTTAATACAAAACATAATACAGTTGACGAGTTTCTAACATACAAACTTAGGTGCAGAAGAATGAATATGAATATGTCATGAGAAAAGATTGAATACAAAATATATAAAAGTAAGATGTGTATAGAATAACTGTTGGACACATCATGTCCTATGTACAGATTACATATATGCAAACATGTTTCCCAAATTGAGTTCAAACTTATAATTCTAAAAAAAGGATGGCATCGATACATAAAAAATATATAATGTTATATTACAAAAAAATAATGTGGCACTATTGTCATGTCATATTTATATGACGTAAATAAGATACAATAAAAATTAATTTTACATAGAATCATGTATGAGTTATAAACATACAACAAATTATATAAAAAATTATACATTGTACACGTTATTATTGTTGTTGCATAGGTAAAGAAGATATCAAATTAAAGTTACCAATGAAATAAAGTATTTAATAAAAAACTGATACTTTGTTTTGACAATTATTTTTGTATAAATACGAAAATAATAAAATAGTAATAAATATGTTCATCTTAAAAATAAATCTTAAAAAAGATAAAAATAACAGAGTGTAAAATTATGATCAAATTTTATTTATATTAGAAAAAATGTATAAGAATATACTTTAATCATTATAAACTGACAAATAATGGCAACATACCTTTAAGTTCATCACATATATATTATTTTTTATATGTGTATTAATACTTTATGTCGTTTTACAATTTAATCTGTATCTGTATCTTTATGTGTTGAAGAATCTTCATCTTCATTTTCATCTTTACGATCCCAATCTTTCAATTTTGTTCCCATTACAAAATCTTCTCTCAACACATTCCAAATTTTTATGTCCTATTAAAAGTACATACTTTTTCAAAACTAATTCTTTTTTAACTATGAAGATAAAATCATATGTTTAAGAAATACACTTACCTTTTCTTTGTGTTTTTTATTTTCTTGCACTTCATTTTTTATATTATTATCTACTGAAATACTTTTACTACTACCCATAAGAACATCCAAGAATGTAGATTTATCAATACTTTTAAGTACCTGTTCACGTTTTCTTTCTAATGGGCCAGCATCTGATAATTTTTTGTTAATTTCACTTTGCTGTTGTTTAACTGCATTAAATAATTGCACAACACCTCTATAACAACATATAATTAATTATTTTACACAAATAGAAGGATGATGCCTTATGTTCTTAATATAATTTAATTACTTTGTAGCAATCTTTTGTAATGTTCTTTCACGTTCTCTATCCATTATACTTGGTTTTATTCTTACACCTAAATTCTTCCCTATACTTCTTTCTTTTAAATCTATATGTGATTTTTGAATATTGTCTTTTATTCTTTTTTTTTCTTCTTTTGTTTTCTCGATTTCAAATGATAAATATCCTTCATCCTCCTTATTTTTCACATCACACAACTTCTTTGCTTTTGATAAAACTATAGTTTTCCTATGTTTTGGTTTTTTAGTTTGTAAAATTTTTTGCATGGCATCTGCCCAACCAGGATTTCCTTCAGTTACATTTTTAACATCATTACTACTATCATTATCAAATTCTTCTCCCACATGAATCTTCTTTTTAGATTTCATTTCCGTAAATTTTCTTCTTGTCTTTCCTAATTCTTGTACTTCTAATTTTAAAGAACTTTCATCTCTGCTTTCAGTATCACTTTTATTATCACTATTATCTTCTAAGTTCACTGCAAAAATATTTATAATATAAATTAAATTAAATAAAAACCACTTATGAAATTAATATAAACAATAATTTTTAATAATTTTTCTTAAATATAGTTTTAAATAGGTTATCTAAGAAAAGTATTTAAATATTTTGTATAAATTTTAAGTACAACTTTGTAATGTTTTTGATGATATTCTGATATTTGTCATATTATCCAATACAATTATTGTTTATTAAAATAAAAAATCATATATTAACAAAAATGATTAAAGTATACATTGAACACTACTTTCACGTGTTATGTACTTTGCTTGAAGGATTGAAGTATGCAACGTATACCAATTGTAAAAATCATTAATAAATATTTAAATTAAATTAAATAATTAAAAATAAATTGTTAATTGTAACATCATATATGTAAACGAGTAGTTTGGAATAATTAATTCATAACTACCAGTTTCTGTAATAAACAAATATAGAATAAATTAACCTCTACTTCCTTAATAATACTTGAAAGAAAATTAAACTGAGAAATACACCTAATTATTTGCCATTTTATTACATAGTAGACTTATATTTAGTACAGTAAAATAATATTGTAGACATACAAGACATTTATAGGTCAGGTGCATAAAATAATATACAACTGCAATTTGTAAATAATATATATTATTTAAAATAAAATGTTTCGGCAAAATTAACCGTATAATTATATTTAACAACAATTATTATTAAATGTACATAATTTATTATTTAATGAAAAAAAAATTATGTATAACATTATAGTATCAATAACATTAGGGCTAAGATCAGATTTCTGAATATAATTTCTTTTGTGCACATAAAAAAGTAAATGTATTGTGTAAAAGAAAGTATTCATTATTTTTTTATATTCTGAGAAGAAACAATGATTGAAATTTATCAGTACCACTTATCAGCATCATTTTAAAAAAGGAAAAGAATGAACACTTTATATTTAAACAGAAAAATAACATTTGTTTTTCCTTCACAGCTATGAGTTTGCTGTACATTCCTTTGAAAGTTCTAAAACGTGTACAATAACATCATCAATTGTTTTCGTTGTTAAAAGAGATTTGACTGTATTATCTTCTATAACAACCATAAATAATCGTTTTATGTTTTCTCTTAATCTTTCATTAAAAAGTAGATTACTTTCTGATGTTAATGGCTGGTGCCCACATCTCCTAATTACTGCTTCTAGAATATCTTGAATTGGAGCTTCGGGCCAACCAAAAAGCTACAAAAAGATATATATTCCTATATTAATAGAATTTACAGAGTAAAATATAATTATAAATACTATTATAGCAATGTATACTTGAAGTGTATCGTCATCAATTAATATTTTCAAAAGATCCGCGATAGCTTTTAATAATTCATCAGTGGAAAGTCTTGTAGACTCTCCGTTTTTTGTCTTCTCTGCAGCAACTGTAGCAATATTATATAACTGTATTTGTAGATGTTTTCTTTCAACTTCATTCATTACGTCTTCCAGCAGGTCACGGTGTTTTGCTTTAATATGTCTCATTAAACAATCTTGTCGTATAAAAACTCTATTACATTCGACGCATGATTGTGGCGGTTCTCGCCTATGGGTATTTAAATGAGCTTGCAAAGAAGACTTCGTAGAAAAGGCTTTTGTACATTTATCACATTTAAATGCTATAACAAAGAAAATACTTCTTAATTGTAATTCGTTGAAAATATATCAAAATTACTACAATCTTCTTACGTTTAATTCCTGTATGAAGTATTGCATGTTTAACAAGGTCTTCCCTTCTTATAAATCTCTTTTCACATATTTGACATGTAAAAGGAGTTGCGCCTTCATGAACGAATTTTTTATGAACATTTAAACGAGCTTTTCTATTAAATGCTTTTCCACACACATCGCAATAGAAACCATTTTCACCAGTGTGGTGAAATATATGTGCCCTTAGTTGAGCAGCCTGAATAAATGACTTAGCACAATATTGACAAACATGAGGTTTCTCGCCAGTATGAGTTCTCTGGTGACGATTTAAAGTTTCGCGAGCAGCAAATTTTTTTTTACACTAAAATCAGGGAGATTTTATATATTTTTAAAATATTAAATTAAATTGATAATATTCGTAAAGTGAATTAAATATGTTATTGTATGAAATATAATATTGAAAACTGCTCTCTGCAGTAAAAACTTACATTAATTTCCCTGTATATAATGCTTGCTTGCAATTGTAAAAATTATACAAGAAAATTAATTTCATCAAGTACTAGAATTTATACAACTAAAATGTCATTAACATTTTACGTTATTAACATAAAAGATTTTAATTCGCAAAATTAGTACTTACATATTTACATTCAAATGGTTTTTCTCCTGTATGTACACGTCTATGTTTTTTTAATGCAAGGGAAGATAAAAAAGTCTTTGGACATAGATCGCATTGAACTGGTCGTTCTCCTGTATGTACACGTTCATGAATTAACAATTGTTGATTAGTAAAGAATTCTTTAGGACAATATTTACAAGGTTTCTTTTGTCTCTGAGGAGTTCCAGCATGAGTCCGTAAATGTTCACGTAAATTATCTTTACGTGTAAATATCTTTTTACAGACCTATCAAAATACATGATTAGTTACCTTAAATTTTGTTAATAAAAGTGATAAATATTATACAGTAATCATACTTGACAACTATATGTATTAAGAATATTTCCATGACATCCAGATTGCATTATGTGACGATTTAAATGATAACTTCGAGAAAAATAAGTATCACAAGGCTCACATCTGTAATTTTTTAAGTTATATCAGATTCGCTTTGCCTCTCTAATATTATTCAATAAAATATCTCCATTAATAAGAAATACATACTTACCTGAATATTTTTCGATCAGCATGAGTAATATAACGATGTCTGTTTAATGATTTCCTGTCACGAAATGACTGCCCACAATCTTTACAGGTACATGAATCACACTGCCAATGAATTACCACAATATGTCTCTCCAAAGATGATTTCTTTTTAAATGAGAGGTCACAGTGTTGACACATAAATTCACCACCACTGTGTGCAGTGTTCAAATCTTCTGCACAGCAATGACATTGTGTATCAGGTACTGGTATAATTACTGGCTTATCATTATTGTTTTTTTGATTGTTAGAACTAGAATCTAAAATTATCAATTCCTACATTTAAAGTATTTTTTTTCAAATATTTTCAATAAAATTCTATATAATATATACCTTCCATATTAGAATTATTAACATAATCTGAATTGTTATCTTTCTCCTCATCTTCTGAATCATAATTTTCAAGACTCCTTAACTGTAAAATATTAGAATCATCTTCTTCTCTGCACATATCTAAATGTTCTTTTAACATCTATTAAAATAAATAATTTTGTTAATATATATCATAAAATGTACTTAATAATTAAACAATTTTAAATATTATAATATTAAATATATCAATTAATATCTTACATCTTGCGATTGAAAGATACGGTGACATGTTACACATTCATAATCTGTTATAATTTGTATAATTTGATCACCATGAGCAATAACTGTAAAACATAATGAAGAAAACTATAATAAATAAAAAAAGAATAAGTAACAATAAGAAAATATACTCATTATGAAATAAAGAAAAGATATATATAAACATAAAGATTTATCAGAAAGTAAAGGCTATGTTTATTGTGTATACCTTTCATGTCAGTAGATTCTTCTTGTTCAGCAGACATTATAATAGTTTCTTGGACATTATTTGGATCTGTAAAAATTAAGCATCAATCTTATATTTTCGTTAAATATGTCTATAAACTACAATTGTATACTGTGATTACCAAATAAATTTTCTAACGTTGCATCTCTCATCAATACTGCATTTTCAACTTTCACGATTTCTATAACAGAAATGACGCGTATCATATGCTACGTAATAACTAACAAATGAATTACATTATCTTCTTTAAAAAAATACGAATACCCATTATTTCCTCCATCACTCTGATTCCTGATAATCAGTACAAAACAATTGTTTGCGGTCTTAGAAAATTAAATACACTTTTGTAATCGTAGTTTATGGTCAAGAATTGTATACGTAAATTACAATATTTCTGTAGTACTTGTACTCACAACTTAATAATGGTAATCTTAATTCAATGTTATTGAAAAGGGGCAAGAATTAAATCGAAATTTTTGACAATCTTGCAATTATTGTCAACTTTCAAACTTTTTAATCACTTCCACCTGCCCCTGGAGAAATATTCCCTGTAGGCCTAAACGCACATCAAAATGGCCTATGTCAAGGGGCACGCCTTCCATATTTTTAATTAACATGTTTCCCATAAGTATTTGTAAATTCAGGTTAAATGTAATTTTAATATGTAAATCGTATTTTTATATGTTTTTTGTTATCGATAAAAATTTTGTTATTAATAAAAAAAAAATTATTTCATAATATTTAAATATATAATTATAAAATAAATAATAAATCTAACGTTATTAATATTAGAATAATTATTAAATTAATGTCGAGTAAAATGTATGTACATATATAACGATTGATTATCCATTTCCCATAATTTCTGAAATTTCGTCTCGTGTTATTTATTCGTTGTCGATCGATGATTGGTGAATTTATACATTTCTTATTCATATAGTAACTAATTTATATATCGAGAAATTATACAATTAAATATTTTAATTGATTATATTTTGCATATATTTATGTACAAAAATTGTTTTACATTATAAAATGTAATTTATTTCTCAGGCAGTATTGCATTATACATTAGGGAAAATAAGTTTCATATTATATAAAAGTTTCAGTAATAACATATACAATATATAAATGTTACACTGTGAATGTCACAAATTAATGAACTTTAGGCTTTACAGATTTCACTTTTTTCAATTTCTTAAGACCATTGATATTTGATTTTAACAAATTCCAATACGCTTGTTGAAACTTATTTACATCCTTAGAATGTATCTGAAATATAAAACAAATTATTTATACAACTTTATTAATAAGAATTAAAATAATAAAATATTATATTATGGAATTATACAAACAACAGTAGAAATCTTTTTTGATCTCAATGTAGCTCTCACTAAACAAAAAAATTCACTTGGTGTTGGTAATGGAGGTCTGCCTTCTCTTGGTATTGGTTTATTGTGTCCATTAACTGAGAACAAAATTTACGAGTAAAATTTTATATTCTATTTGTGTTAACAGAATAACGACATTAGTACTTACATCTTTTAATAGTAAGTACTACAGAACCAGAAAGTCGAGATTTGTCGAAAAGTCGTGTCAACTCCACTAAAAACTAAAATTAAAATTATTCCAAAACTTTTAATATAATAAATTTACAAATGAAAGATTACCGCGTCATTTTCTAGCAGGACCATTTTGTTAATAGCAATATATTTCTTTAAAACTTATCATATGCAGTGATATTACGTATTTTCTGTCTCAATATTCAGTCATTTAGATCCTCCAAATGACAACGATGAAGTATAACAAACTTAATATTATGGAGAATTTACATGTTGACGACAAATACTTTCAGCCTCATACAGATAAACGTATGAATTTTGATTAAAAATTTGCAATGCGTTATATATTTTTTAGACTGACTTTAAAATGAGAAGATTAGTTATATATAATGCAATTTATTTATTGTATCCATGTAAAAATCTTTTTCTAAAAATTTTAATAGTAAAAAAAATATCGTAATGAAATATAACACACCTTTAATTTATAGAAACTGTGAACTTTTCCTGAGTCAAATCTTTGGTGTTTAGGAAAATATTTCATTACGTGAATGAAAATTATTACAATTACGTCAAAATGAATAATACGAGCATATGCGTAAAAGTTTGTGAAACTGATAAATGTATTTACGAAAACAATAATAGTATAGTGTTAAATGCAAATAATTTAAGTAGTTTACTTACTTCTTTGAAAGATAGACAAATTGAAATCAATGATTTTTTAACCAGCCTTGTGGAAAAACAAGATAATTCTGTTAATGCAGAAAGTAAACGCAAAAGATATTAAAAAGAGCATAAAAATTATGTAGTTGAAAACTTATAGGAACTAATAGATTCTTGTTAATTTTAGATCGGCTAACGTCGGAAAGTGATTCGGATATCGAAGACGAAATCGAAGTTAACCCTAAAAAATCTAAACTGATCGATTAATAGCTTAATACAATTATTTTATTGTTATAAAATTTATGTAATATTTAAACACTATATTGATATTAATCTTTACTTCCTAATGTATTGTCACGACATTATGTGTGTTCACGAATAAAACTTTGTGATGCTTAGAAACAGTAAATCGAAAATAAGTGAAGAAAACATCGTTAATAAGAAACACGTGGTAAATATAATTTCTTTATTTTATAAATTTATTACAGTATATGTTAGTTGCAAACTTATAACTTTTCTATCTTTAGCTATGTTAATTAATTATACCATAGTATAGTATATCAGTATTGTATATGATATATTTTTAGAAACATTTTAATTTCATGTCTTGTACTTCTTTAATTAATACTTTGCATTTTTATTAAAGATAGAACATGTCTACCATACTTACAAATGAAGCTCAACTGCGTTATGTAATACAATGGTTTCAACAATGGTCTGAGATGCAAAGAAGTGACTTTTTGGATATACTTCTGGAACAGTGTGGGCCTTCAGGTCTTGTTAATGGATTGGTATCTAGAATGGAAAATTTAGGACATTCAAATGAGTCTGACAGACCACCAAGTCTGTTTCAGTGTCGTGTAAAATTATTTAAAGAATGGAGTCATAATTGGTCTCAACAAGAAAAAGATTCTTTACTTTTATCAATTAAAAATATTGATGCTTCGTTTGCAGAAAAATATGATGAGAAGCTGTCAACATTAGTAGGTGAAGAAGCAAAAGTATAAGTAAACATTTTAGAATATATAATATTCTTTATTATTGTAGAAGACATATACTTCTATTATTTTTAATTTCTAAGATATAGAAATGATTAATGGAAAAGTATAAAATTAAAACATAGTAGGTTTGATATTTATATTTTATGTAAATTTTAACAAAATATAATGTAAAAGATGATTGAAATATTTTAAATGTTTTATAATAGTTTTTATAGTTATAGAGTTTATAAGATTTATATATACATTCCATCATTATTTTAAAATATCTGTTTTTTAAACGGCTTTTTTTTTATTTATAAGCAAATAAATTTTTTAATATTCACATGTAAGCACAATAATTATGAAGTATAAAAAAGATATCTTAAATGTGTATATCTTATCCTTACAAAAATAGATGTCTTCTTGTTAAGTGTTATTTATTATTTATTACATGTATTTACTTAGAATCAATCTTTTTCACTTCTTTATTATATTCTCTTCTTCTACTATATTATATCTATTTCATTAAATTATGAAAAATAGGTATATATTTAAAAAAATAGTATTATTTAAATTGCAAAATAAAATTTTTTTTAAATTGAAAACAAATATTTTTACATACTATTTTTAAAATATTTATGTAATGTTACTTTTATATCTAATACAATAATCAAAACAGTAATCATTTAAAAATATTTATATAAAATTTATTTTTTAAATATTTAATAAAATAGATAAATATTTTAGAAAAAGAAATTGAAACAGAGAAATATTGCACCCTTACTTGATTTTGTAAATTACTCTAAAATTATAGCTTTGATTTTTGCTGAAGCCATTTTATACATATTTTTTTAATAGCATTTTGACCAAGCCTATCTGATTCTTTCAAAATTTTTCTTACATCTTGTGCTCTTGAATGTTTAACAGCTAACAAATATGCTGATTTTAATTGTCTGCATTCAATATATGCATTTATCTGCAAATAGAGTTAATTAAAAAATTATATTGGAAAAATTTGAAAATTTATATATATATATAATTTTTGGTCTTACTTTAAGTTCTATATCAGTTATTAATTTAATAAGATTGAAAATATCATTTTTTAAAATTGATTTTGTTTTATCATGTGAATGAGATAATAATAACTTTACACAATGTGTCAGAACATAATCTGATATAATGTATGAATTTGAAATTCCAGATGTATGACAACATTTAATTAATTGTTCTATTGCAGAAATATTGTTTTTTAATATCAAAATGTGTCCTGTTAGAGAATACACCTTTTGTTGTGGTAAATTATAATCTGAAATAATAATAGTATCTCTGATATAAGCAAGTAAATGAAATTATAAAGTATTTAGAACATATTATTAAAAAACATAAATTAAAAGACCTTGCATTATTCTAAATGCTATGCCAAATCCTTCTTCAATATTTCGCCCACAAAGAATGGCTAAAACAGCTATGTCAATCTTTTGCTGTTGATTGCCAAATAAAGTTGGTACTTCTAAATTAGATGAATCATTATAGTCCTTTTCTGGAAATAGACTCAAAAACTGAATGGGAGCTCTTCCTTCCTTTTCACAATTTGCTAGAAACTTTGTAATTTCCATTTGTCTACAAATTGTATTTATATGTTTATCTATTTCGGATGGTTCCATTTTCATTGTTAAAATTCCTTGATTACTGTGCACAGAACTTGTACTTTTCTTTCTTTTTTGATTTAAAGTTTCAATTTGCAACTCAGATTCCAGATGTTTTTGAGCATTGAACAAAAAATTTACTTTAGCATTTAAATCTGAATAATTACTTATTTCATTGAGATAAAGGTGAATACAAGTCATAGCAGCACGTATAAAATCTTTCATAAAAAGTTGCAAATGGTATAAAATATTTAAGTATTGTCTTTTTTCTAAACTATGACAAACATATATTAAATATTTTCTCCAAATTAGTAAATTTGAGTCTTTATTTATTATTGCTTCGTGAAGCTTTTCAATACTTCCATTTCTTAAACAATATAAATAAATTGCATTGAAAAATAAATCGAGATCTAAATTATTTTCCAAAGTAAAAGCAAGACACTGATCAAATTCTTCATGTTTTAAAAAAAATTCTATAATTGAATTACAACTACCATAAGTTAATAAATAATAAATGCTTTCATGATAATAAATATTTTTCGTGATTACAGATGTATTTTTAACATTAAGTTGTTTTCGATTTGTAATGTTAAAGCTTCCAAAATTATTTAATATTTCTTCTGATGTACTGGATTTGTACTGATGAGAATGTTGTATATATTGTTTATATATGCTTAAATTATCCAATATTTGTAAGATTTCTGTTAGTAATGGTGGATCTTTCAATGGACGATTTTTTAAAAATTCTGCCTTTCTTGAACTCAGCTCATCTATTTCGATTTCTTTTACTTTATTCATATTGTTTATTACATATTGAATTTCTCTTTTACTTGAGATTTCTAAGTCTTTTGGATGTGATAAAATTACCCAGTCATCAAAATTTTCATATTGAATCTTATCAAAACAATGGAAAAATTTATCTCGTGCTTGATCAAAATATCCCATTTTTAAACAAGCTTTACCCCAAGTTGCCCAAACTCCTTGCATATCAAGACCTGCTTTAGTACTTACGTCTAAAGCAAGAACCCATTGTTCTTTTTCAATTAACAGATCTCTTAATTTTCTCAAAGCATGACCATCTAGATTATCAGAAGGTATTAGATGCAAACAGTCAGATTCAACAAGACTTGCAATCAGATCTACTTGCGATAAAAAACGATCACAATGGGCTAAACCAGTATTAAGACCAAGTTTAGCACATTTGACTTTTGCAGCTACTAATAGGGAACGTATCATTTTAATAATTACAATATGATCAACTTCAGGATTTACTTTTCCACCACTAACGGGTTGTAAAAGTCGTTTCATTTTGTCGCAACAATCTAAGAGGAAACTATAAATATACATTTTGTTAAATATCTTTACATAAAAGCCTTGTTAAATTAAAATAATATTTAAACATTATTATTACCTGGTATATGTTTCATGCTCGGAATGTAAGTTGAGAATAGCTAAACATAAAGAAATGTTTGGAGCATATTCAAATGAAAATTCTTCTCTGACAGTTTCATTATACTTTTCATCTCTCGTTAATCGCCAATAATCAAATGTTTCACTACTTAGAGTAGATTGTGTTCCTGCAGAGGTGTGCATTTGTAACAGAGTCTGTTGTTTGCAGTTGTCGCAAACACGTACAAGTACAGAAGGTGGATAACCAGATACGTGCATGCGATGTTGAGAACATGTTGCACAAATAACACGACCACATCTACGACAATGATGTCGTCTATTAAACATTGAAAATATAACATTTTTACAACAGCTACATTTTCTGGCCTGTTGAAGAAGAAATAATTAGTGCAATCACAAATATTAAAAATTACTAATGTTAATGAATGTAATGCATATCATTCTTAAATACTTTATCATTAGGTATCCACTCTTCTTTAGTAGGAACTTTTATAGGCATAATAAATTCGGAGTTTTCTGTTTCTGAAGTTAAATATTGCAAATTTTTTGATTTATTTTCAGTAATTTCACATTGTAAAGATACACGACAATCCAATGACTTTTGACCATAAAATCTTATAATTTTGTCAAAATTACTTCTTGGAATATCCACTTGATCTAATTTATCTTGAATTTTATTTAATATTCTTTGGATACTTTCAAATTTGCAATTCATTAGCAATTGTTCTAACATTAACAATGGTTCTTTTATGAGATGAATGTATAATTCTTGAGTATCTAGCATACTTAAAATGTCAATTCCTAGTAGAGTTCTTCTATATTTTATAGTTTCTGTTGCTTTACAATATTGTAATAAATAGTTACAAATAAATCTCAATGAGTCAATGGACTCTAATTCTTTTAGCATATTCTTACAAAGGTTGATTGATTGGTCTAAAGGTAATGCTTGAAGAAACTAGAAAAAATAATATATTTTATTAAAAATTGAAAATTATTACTTATAATAGATTAATTTTTTAATATCTTATAAAGTACCTTTAAAGTTTGTTTGAAATTTTGAGATTCATTTCTTAAAAGACCAATTAAGAATTCTTGAGTTATAGAAGGATGTATATCTAAAGAAAATGCTTGGCATTCCATCCATTCTAAACACAATTCAAATTTATCTGCATTGATTAATGCTTTGATAACTTGTAGTGAATCAACTTTGTCTGTACAATAAGCAATATTATACCAAGTTTCATTGGATTTAGTTATACAATATGGAAGTATTTTCTGAAAAATTTGCACTCTGTGTAAGATTTCATTCAACTGCAACTTACAATGTATAGGTAATTTATAATTATCCATATGATGTACTGTATAAAGTAATGCATTTTCACATATATTTATATGCCACCTGTTAACATTATACAATACTGTTTGATTTAATATGTACACATCTTTAATTTGATATAAATATTGCAATATTTCTGTATCGAATATAGTATCTTCTTCCGAAATTATATGACTCAGAAGTTTATCTCTAAAATATTGTATTTCACTACTTAAGGCAATATAAGTTGGTAATGCATTTATAAGTTTCAAACAAGCATTACATTTATCTTCTTTTAACATTAGTTCAAAGTGAGACCACAATTTTCGTATTGATATCTTTTCAAAAATGGCTGTAAGAGTTTGATTATTCTCAAATAATAACTTTAATTCCTTTACCCAGAATGACATTAAGAGATTTTCGAGACACGCAGTACGATTCAAATTATCACAGTTGTTTTGTAATATAGTAGGATTTTCATTATGTATTCTTTGCAAAAGGTAAGAAACAATCCAACATTGACCTTCCAAGTATTGTAATAAACTTGATCTTATACTATGACTTTTCCAGTCAGTCTTATACTGATTAATTTGTTTATGACTGTGTATATTGGAACAATTTGAATATCTCAATATTATACTGTACAAATAAGAAGGTGGCATATATTGTATAACTATATTTTCATCAGTGGATTTGAAGTAATCATTTATTGAAAACAAATTTTTACTATTGTTACTAAACTGCAAATCATTATTTAAATTCTGAGAAATAAAAATTTGATATTGTTCTACAATTTTTGGTAGTAATATTATCTTTCGGTTTTCTACGTTTTGAATAGATTTCTCACACCATAATGTATAATGATTTAAATACTCATGAAAAGCATTAGTTAGATCTTCATTTAATGATTCTGTGTTATAGACCTACAAATATAGATATCAATCAAAAATTATATAAACATATAAAATATTTTTAATAGAAAATATACGAAAAGAAAGAGAAAAACTTACACGAATATAAGGTGTACCAAAATATTCATTAGCCATTACAAAAATTACTCTTGGATCATGAGTAATATCCAAATCTTGCCATGCTGGTTCATTGAGTTCTTCAACTTGCATGAAAAATTTATTATCGAATATTATATTATTTAATAATTTTGACCTTAGTGCAGCAAGTGTGACTAAACCCAAATCACCAATTAGATAACCAATTGACATTAATGAAATTGTATGCTGCAAATCATTGAAAGAGGGATGATTTGTCCAGACAGTTAAAGTAGTGTGTAAAAACATTAGATTCCATGTATTCAAAAGGAACGTTAATGTCTCATCACCCATAGATAATTCACTCAAATCTAAATTTATAAGACGAGATGTTTTACATAATACAGTTTGAATGTCAGAATATTTTGAGATAGCTTTACAAACATCATGATTCAAATGAAATTGATTTAAATTTAAATTATGCAAAATTTGTAAAATTTCTGTTAATATCTCTGAGACACACTGATTTGGATTTTGCATCTTATAACTAAAGTTCTGTAAATCAAAATTAATATTATTATTATTTATTTATTATAATTTATTGTAAAATTGTCTGCAAACAATACATACTGATTTACATGAAGCTTTATTTAAAATGATGCATCCATCTTCCCTATTAGGGATGATATAATTTGTATCTTCTTCATAAGAAAGTCTAGGACAAACATTTGTAAGGATACTATATGCCAAATTAATTTGTAAATCATGTGCAATTGCTTCCAGTTTTTGTGGCTCAATTTTAAGTTCAAATATTTGATATCCAAAGTAATAATATAACGGAATTTTTAATAAATCAGATACTGTAAGTATTGCATGTTCAGTTGGAATAATTGAGTGTAAAAGTTGTAAATAAGAGCATATATTCTGTATATATTTCTTAGATCCACAAGGAATTGTTACTATTTTACTAAGTATTTTTAATCCAGGCAAATAATTGCTATCTTTTAATATTTTATTGATTGTATTTTTATTTGCCTGTGATTCTCTAAATTCATGATGATTAATCATAATATCAGCCCAAAAATCTTCTTTCTCTTTACATTCCTTTATGGACAATGCAATTTTTGCATCACACAGTATATCTCTTGTAGATAAATTGTCTTTTTTTTCATATAACAGTTGATAAAATTTATAAAAGAAATATACATGTTCAGTGTTGTCAAATGTTGTACATAATTTTATATACTTCCATGCAACGTCACAAAAATTCTGTGAAATTGAATAGATTTGACTCATAGTTAAAGCCAAATCTAATGCACATATCATTAATATTTCATTATTATTAAGAATTTCCATGGATAACATTCGTAAATTGTTTTCTTGAGACATTAAAAATGTCTCAAATTGACTAGTTTGTCTAGAAGAGTTTATACCTTCTTGTGTAACTAGTCTTATATTCTGCAAGAATAAAACTATAAAATTAAATAGTTTTTCTGCAAGCAATGTTAATAACTGTTATATACTATACCTCTAATGTTGAAGATTGTAAGTTTTCTGAAGGTTGATTCTGATTTTTCAGTGTATTTGTCTGTTTATATATATTCTTTCTAAACGCGTGTAATCCTTTTGAAAACTGCACTTCGCCATTTAACTGGGAATTCTTTATATCATATGTCTTGAAAATAAAATAAATAATCAAATATGTTATTTCAAAAAATATTTGTTATGTGGCTATTACTGAATGTTTCTGCTTTATCATTACCATTACACAGAGTTGAGTATTAATATTCTATAAATTGTTATATATGATTCTACTCATTTTTTTCTATATAGATAAATTTACAAAATAAAAAAGTGTTTGAGTTAGCATCTGATAATAAAGATTATGATGAACAAAATGAAAATGAAATGATACATCCTGCAGATATAACGAATTTAAACCTTTATATAGAAGATGAAAGTAAATATAAACCACTACATTCGTATGTAGACAATTACAATAAACGTGAATTTGTGAATAAAATACAGTATACAAATATGGTCTCCCATTTAAAATCAAATATATGGGAAAGCTCTAATGTAGAAAAGGATGATGCACCATTTATTGCTGGATTTAAGGATGATCTTGATAAAGTGTTTACTACTAATTAAGAAATTTTGTATAATAATAAAAGTTTCATTAATATTTACTTTCAGATTATAGCAGGTACAGATTCAAAATTTACATAGGAAATCATTTCAAAGAGGACATGACAATAGAAAAAATAATTCTTTGTTTTGGAAGAAGAATAATAGTACTGCTATTATTAATAAAAATAAAAGAAAATTAACTTCTCCAAATACGTTTGAAGATTTTAGGTATATCGATAGTACAGAATTAGATGAAAAAATGTATGACTATGATCAGTTAAAAAAAGAATATGAAGAACAAATAAAAGAAGATATAAATTCTAACAAAATTCTAAACTTTACTGATGATAAAAAACTAGAAGAGCAACCCAAAGAAATATTACAAAAATTAGTTGATTTTAAAAATTGCACAGAAGCAATTAGAAAATTTAATATTAAACCAATAAATTGTTTAGTTTACAATTATCAACAACAAAAACATAAACCTATTATTAAAAAAATTTTATGGAAAATATGGCTAACAACTAAAATTTGGGTTTTAATTTATATATGTTTTGCAATTCCATGTTGGTGTCAAAAAGGTAAAGTATACCATTAAAGATTTTATAAAATAAAAATAATTTTATGTATATAACAGTGTATTATTCTATAGGTTGGTGTTGCTGTTGTTTTCGTTTTAAATTCTGTTTTCCAAAAAAAAGAATATTATATGCAAAGCAGTATTATGTAAATAATCCACCTGGTATATTTAATGAACAAGTTCAAAGAACAGAAAAAATACCATTTACATATATACCTACTGCATTTGAAGAAGATATGTATGAGAAGTTAGAAACAGCAATAAGAAATATATAATTACATTAAATTAATAGAATTACCTCTATGATATTTTGTGCTTTTATATAATCATTTCTCCATAAACATTGAATAATTAGACTTTCTTTAGTTGCTAGCATAAAATTTATAAATAAAGGCTTATGAGTAACTTTAGTTATTATATCATGCATTGTAAATTTTATATTTTTAGAACGTTTTCGACATTTAATATTATGCATTGGTTCTGATTCAGAGCTACTATTAGATTTTGTCTTTGTTTCATCTAAAATATTATCTTCTTGATAAAAAAGTGCAGTTTCTATGGAACGATTGGAAATTAACTTTCTATCTAAGAAAGTTTGAGTTTTGAATTTAGGTAAACAACTTTTATTTCCATCTTTCATATTAATATTTTTAGTAAATTCTGTAGTTACATAAAGTTCAAGTCTCCATTTAGCATCTGCTATTGCTGCATTGAGATATGCAATATCTTTTTGAACTTGTTCTATTTCTTGTGCACATCCATTTTTACTTTCCATTTTCATGTATGCAATTTCTGTTGCTGATATAATATCTGTTAAATAATGTAATATATCTCTCACAGCATATTTATTACAAACAAAACCAAAATGTTGTTTCACTTGTTTATTTTCGAATTTTAATTGTTCGTGACAATTATTCATATAGATTTTGTCATAACTCTTTTGAATATAATGAAAGTCTTCATATTGCAAAAAAAGTAAACAAAATATATTTTCTATTACTTGTATACGTAAATTGAGTGGATATAACATTTTTACATAATGACTCATATCAGAGAAGTAACTTGTTATAATGGATTGCTTCGTATCATAATTATCACACAATAAAATACCTTTTAAAGCACTTAACATACTATAATATGCACAGAAGATATTTTCAGGTTCACAAATATCTTTTAATAAATTTTTTATTTTTTCATAATCCTGTTCATTTATATTTATTGTCATTTTTAACACTAGGAGACTATCAAAATGGTGTAAAAGATTCAATATCCATTTTATAGAAATATTTTGTTGGGAGTCAACTGATATTGTTTCTTGACCTTGATTTAAATCTTCTGTTTGAATATTTTCCTTTTTACAATTCAAGATATATTTTAAAATTTTTATGTATTTCCACAAAACATTTTGTAGTTCATTCAATGTAGAATCACACAATATATCAAAATTACATTTGGGTATCAAAAATTCAATTAAATTACACATGAAATCATAGTTCTTTTGTGTATTATCTAATAGTACTTCTTCTTGTGAATATTTGTTCAAAACTTTAAATAACAAAGCTGGCCAGAAAGCTTTTAATAATGCACAGGATAATATTAATGAAACATCATTATATTGTTCATTTATTATTAAAGTGTAACACATGTTCTGGAAAAATAAAGTATTAAATACAAGTATTGTGATATTAATTTAATAACTTATATAATATTACCTACCAAAATGTCTATAACCCAATGTAATTTGATATTACTCATCCTTTCTATGAGTCTATTCTTATTTATAGTGCAAATAGAATTAGAAGTGAAGTGAAATAACGTTTTCTGTATTTTTAACACATCACTTAAATTATTAGGTTTGGAATGTACATAAACTTCATTAAGAAACATACACCATTTCTTAAAAAAATGTAGGTCTGTTCTTGAATATAATGCAAATTCAATATCTTGAATATTATTTATTTTCAACATCATAGGAAAAAACCATTCTGTCAAGGCAACTTCATTAAACTCAGTAATATTCATTTTTGATATAATACATAACAAACATCCAAAATAATTATCATTGACTGATTTTTTATTAGATGATTTAAATTCCATCAACTCTTTAATCAGTGAAAAATAAAAATCTTGCACATTGCAAATAATATTAGTTGATATATTAGAATAAATTATTAATAATTCATTAAAAATCCAACATGTAACAACTGGATTATTGTAAATATTTTGTTTTAAAAATATAAAATACTTATTTTGTATTTTCTCAAAAGATTCTAAACTTTTCTGCTGCAAACTATTTTTGTACAATGTTAGCAATTCCTTTAACATACAATAAAATATGATTAAGAATATAAAGTATAAAAATATAAAATAAATAATTTATACAAATTAATCCATTTTTAAAATACCTGCTGTGAATGTTTGGTAAAATTTTCGCATAATCCTAAAGCATATGTCATTTGAATATAATTTTGCTGTTTTTCTATATATTCAGTATACGTAGTTACATTATTAATAAGTTTATGTAATAATATATATGTTATCCATTGATGTTGACTCTCATTCTGAGGATGACTGCAAATATACAACAAATAAATTAATTATTTATGTTAAATAGTATAGAAATATATTTTCTACAGTTTTATATTAATTATTGCATATATTGTACCAAGTACAATATTTTTTAATATACAAAATTATATTGCACTTACATTAAATCTTTAATCAGAATCTCTGATTCAACAAAATCTATAGTATTACTTTTGCATTGTGAAAAACAAGATTTATCATTATTTTCTTGATACATAATAAGAGATGTATACCACAGTTTTGACAAAATGCATTTATTTATGTCTAACATTTTCGTTTCGCTTGACATTTTTGTAAAGTTGAATTGTTATAAAAAATGAACAATAGAGTATTTTATCCATATATCAACATATCGACAATTTAAAAATTAATGTTTACGATAATGAAATCTAATTTGATCCATATAAAAATTTACTATATACTTCCATATTTTTTGTTATTATTTGATAAACGAAACATAATTTCATATTTGAAAGATATTTTATTATTAACTAGTATAGTATATAATTGTCCAGTGTCTATAAACCATTGAAAATATTAGGTTATACTGAATAAAGCAGTGATTCTCAAATTCTCTTCCTCGATCGTCTCCTTCCTTCAATAAATTGTAATGTAACTAAAAAAGTACATACGCCTGATTTATTTAATGTAACTCATATGCCTGCAGTTTAGATGCTCTTAATATTTGGAATAATATTTGTCTCTTCAAGTGCATATTTTAGTTCTATTCTTTTCTTTTATTAAGAAGAAAGTTTAAGCATGTAAATTTTTTTAAATATTTAGTCGTTGGTTTGTACAAATTTACCCTTTAATGTTATCTTCTCAGGAGCAATAACTCCTTATTGAGAATCACTATGTAAAGTGTACTCTATGTTCTTACGATATTTTGAGTACAAAAAATTTATACAATGAATAAAATTGGTAAAACATTAATAAAAAATTCAATTGTCAACCGTAATTGGACATTTTTATCAAATTTGAGTACATTATCAAATCATGGTAATAAATTATTTAATTCTTAAATTCTTATTTTTACTTTTTAGTATTTAATGATATATAAATGTACATCTTGCAGATAATTCAATTATTAAAAAATCAATGGAAAACAATAATATTGTAAACAGTAATATTGAAAATATTTTAAAAAATATTGAACAAAATTATAAAAATATGAATGTAAAAACTGCTGTTAATATTATGGATTGCTTATACAATGAGCATGATAAAAGGAAAGAATTACATTTGGTATATTTTACAGAATTTGAATACATTTGCAAGGTGCTACTTAAAGATATTAGATCATTATCCACATATGATACTATAAAAGTTTTACGAAATTTATTAACTTTGAATGTTCCACCGAATACTGTGATAATTCAAACATTACTTCAATTAATACGTGTTTCCATAAATAAATTAACAATTAAGCAAATAATGAGGTTGTATTATATGTTATATAATGTACAAAAATCACCTCTAATTGAATCTTTGCTTCTTGCTCTGCCTCATGTCTTAGAACAACAGGCTCAAATTGAACTTGATTCAACAAGTACTAATTTGATGGAAGTACTTCAATTTTGTATTATGACCAAGAATTTAGAAACACAAAGATATGTAATTAGTCTTTTATTTAAAAATAAACAAAACATAAAATTACCCCATGCAATAAACATTTTTGGTGTAATATGTAATTTACCAGAATTGTGTCCAGTTTCTAAACAACTTTTGTTTTATATACAAAAAATAATAGAGAGAGACTATAAGAAATTAAACATAAGTGAAACTAATTGGTTACTTTTAAACATTTCTAAGAAATGCATGAATTTGTAAGTATTACATATTTAAAATTACTCACCATATAAATATTTGTATTATTTTATCTTATTTTAGAAAAACGGAGTTCTATTGCAAAGTATTAATAGATAAATTATGTTTTAATATATTGTCTTACCATACTAGTCCTAAAGATGACTTACACACCATAATATATTTAAATAATATGCATCATAGTAATATTCTTTTACTAGAGAAGTTAGTAGAGAAATATCTTAAAGATACAGATACTTTAAAAATGTGCTCCATACATCAGGTACATCATTTTATCAAAGGTTTTGTTATTGCTGATTATAGACCACATAATTGGGAAACTATAGGAAGAATGTTACAAAATTTTATTATTAATATAGATTATCCAATATGTTATATAGTATCTACTGTGTATTATTTGCTCTCATTAAATTGTTATTGTCCAAAATTAATAGAAAAGGCATTTATATTACATAATAATGTAACTGTTACTATAAAAGAACATATATTAAAATTATATTGGTGTATTAAATTGCTTTATCCTGAATATAATGGAATTATGCCAGATGAAACTAAATTGAACCAGATTAAAATTAAACATAAAGGTAATAATGTATCAGATTTAATGAAGAGTTTGGTAGAAGTTATTGGAGATGCAAGATACATAAAAAGTGGTTTAAAAACAAAATTTGGCACATTTGTTGGTAAGAGCTTATGAATAATCATAATTGGAAAGTAATAATGATAAATGTTTAAAAAACTTTATTTTAATTATTTTAGATCATGTTGTTGTTATACAACCTGATGGCTTTCTTATGAATACTAGTAGTTATGGTAATATTATATTTGTTGAAGAGTTAGTATCACTAACAGAAGGTAGCAAGTAAGAGATGTTAATTTAATATTAATATTAATATTTAATATAGTAATTTAATAATTTAGTAATATAGTAATTTAATAGTATTAATATTAGTATTTAATATAGTAATGTAATTTAATATTTGCTTTACTAATCATAAAAATAATGTTTATTTAAACACCAATGTAATATTAAGTAAACATATTGTTCTTAACAGATTTCTCTTCTTTGCTTTCCCAGTAGAAGCATATTCTATTAATGAAAAATGTATGTTATCTACTGTGAAAATGGAATTGAAAGCATTGGAAACATTATCAGGATTTCATACTGTTGTTATAAATCCATATTTGTGGAATAACCTTGTGGACAAAGAAAAAATATTACATCTTCACAAAATTATGAGATCAAAGTCTAGTAATATTTGTTATAAATAAATACAATTTTATAAAACACGAAAAATTAAAAAAAATGGGATAAATAAAAATCGTTTCCCTTTTTTAAAATAAAATTATTTACTGCATGCATTATGCATTATACTTTTGTAAGTTCAATATAATTATTAATTAATTTTTTAAAACCTATTTAAAAAAAAATTGTTTTTTAAATTCTAAGGTGTTACTAATATTACAGGATCTGGGACTTCAAAAAATTTAAAGAAACATTTACAATAAACTGTTCATTTATGTAATAATTTATTTATATGAAAATATTTATAACATCAACAATTTGAAAGTTGTATGATTTCAAATTCTATATATCTTGTAGATATTCCTACAAAATTTGTATTATGTTATACTAAGTAAAATATTTTACATATTGCTAATTTTAAGATGTGGATGAGTATTTTTGCATAAACATAATGTATCTATAAGTAACATATATTGAAGGCAATACTTATTAATATATAAATAAAATTTGATGATGTATTTCTCTCCAATAATTGTTGATAAGCAATATTAATGTAAGTTGGTATTATTATGAAAGACATACTTTGATAAACACACAAGTAATGTTTTTAAACATGGAAAGAGACAATATATTGATAACAGAATAATTAAAATATTAAATAGCACCCACTAGCACCATTTCTTTAAATGAAAGATAACTGTTAATATCACTGATTTAGACCAAATAATTTTAAAGCGTTGAAAGCAGTAGCTAAAGCAACTTCCTCTGGAGCAATTTGCATAAATGCTGCTACCATTTCCACTATTGCTGGTAAAGCACATGGTTCATTACGTTGAAAAGTACAGTAACGATGAAGAAATGTCATGGATCGTTCAGTTAGAGCATCTTTAACATGTACAGGTAATTTACTAGCTCTAGTATTAGGATACATGAATGGAGCATCTGTTTCTATCAATATTCTGTCTAAAGGTGCAAGTCTTTTCTCCAACAATTGCCTTATACCACTATCAGATTTATCTTTACATAAATATCCAGTAATGCCCAGGTAAAAGCCATGGTCTAAATAGATTTGTGCTTCCTTTGCAGTTCCAATAAATGAATGGATTAGAATTGGTGGCAAACAATTTTTATAGTGGTTTAGAACATCTAGAACATCTGTTTGAGCACCTCTTTCATGTATCACAAGTGGCTTAGTTAACTGACATGCAAGTTCCACTTGTTTATGGAATACAGCACGTTGTGTTTCAGGATCAGAAAAATCACGACTATAATCTAAGCCACATTCTCCTATTGCTACACATTCTGGATTATTAGCTATACTTTCAAGTTCTTGCAAAGTATTAGGACTTTCCCATGATTTTGCATCATGAGGATGAACACCAGCAGTAGAATAAAGTGTACCAGGATATATCCTAGTCAATCTTAATGCCTCTTTACTAGAACGAATACTTGCACCTGTTACCATAATCTTTTGTACCCCTGCATCTTTTGCTCTTTGAATTACACTATCTAGATCTCTGCTATATTTTTTATTAGTAAGATTAGCACCAACATCAACTATAATATAATTTTCATAACACTGTGTCATAGCTGAGGAAATAGCCTTTTCCTCTGCATTTGATGCAGTAGTATTTTCAGCCATTCCTCAATATTTAATTGTAATATCTGAAATAAAATAAAAAATAATATTTACTAAAAATATATTATTTATATTGAAAAATACATCAATATAAACAATTATTAAAAAAAAAAAAGTAATAATGTTTGTTGAATTTTATCATACAGTTATCATTAATGAATTTACCTGTAATCAACATATATTTCATTGATTATATATATTGAGTTATCGAAATAATAATACAAAGAAAACAATGAATATATGATATATGATTAAATTACTTAACCTATGCTAATTTAAGGATTAAAAAAGAACATATACGTAATTACGAATTTGTAGTAAATATTACAATAAAGACACTTTTTAAACACTAACAATGAAATACAATATACATTTGTTGCCAACCAGCTGAAGCTGTCTCCAATTAATCTAAGATCCGTATTTTTATAAATGATGTGTATGAACACTTAAGGTATATTGCTATACATGTACATATACATATAAAAATATTTTATCACCAATTCGCAGTTTTCCTTCTTTCAGATTAATTTAGAGTTAATGCAGGACCATTAATGCATGCACACAATACGTTCATGTAATGATATATAATGCTGCCTTACACCTATGCACAATTAGTCCCTTCAATAAGTTGGTTTAGTATGAAACACATGGACTTTTAGTTGAATCATACAAGCTGTTACTGTAACGAAGTATATGTGTCAATTTTCCCATAAGTCATTCTATATTTCATTTTATTATATATACTTACCTATTAAATAATATATTTAACTTTTTATATTAAAATAAAAATTTTCTTTCTTATTAATAAATTATAATTTGAGATTTACTGTATATATAAAGTTAACAAAATAACACATATCTCGATAAATACATAAAAATTTCAGAATAATTTTAATACTTTCACCTTTTATATAGTGAACTGATTAATTCCATGTCATAATTGTTATAAGAAAGTATATAGCCTAAAATCATATTGCTTAACATACGCGGGAAATATAATTATCATGAAGGTATTAATTTCATAAAATATTTTTATTATTGTTTAACAATGTAAACTAATGAAATAGCTTATTGTTAGAATATTAATGTGTTATAATAAAATATATATTAAATATTTTACTTTTCATTTTTGTTTAATTTTAAAAACATTATATATAATATTTATAAATAATTTTATCTGTGATTTATATACTAAATTAATTTTACACAGAAAAGGAAAACAAGACGTCAACTTTTGGCAGAAAAAGAAGCAATTGCAAAAAGTTTGGTTGATAAAGCTAATTCTGTAACAAATCCCTTAGAGCCTTTAAATTTTTTTCACAAATATGTGACAAAAGAAGGTCAAACCATTGAACTCTCTTGTGTAAGAGCCAAAGATGCTCAGCCTGAATGTATATCTTGGATATTTGATATCATGGAGCGTAATATGAAATCTTTATACGAACAAAGTGATTGGGGTTGGGATTTAATTGCCAAACAAAAGGAATTAACAGAAGCAACAGCTTGGTATTTAATAGCATTATCCAATGATATATTTATTGGATTTTCTCATTTTCGTTTTGATATAGATTACAGAGAAGGAGTATTATATTGGTATGTTCATATTATACATGTTCTACAAATATTAGAAAGTGAAAAATTATATTTTTCTTTTTAAGTTATGAAATACAATTGGAATCTGCAGTACGAAGAAAAGGACTTGGTCATTTTATGATGTCTGCACTTGAATCTATGGCATCAGACAACAAGATGCGTAAAGTAGTTCTTACTGCACTTAAACATAATCCATCTGCCATGCAATTTTTTTATTCTCTTGGGTAAATGAGATATATCTTATAACTATATATAGATTTCTACATTTTTATTTTATTACAGAATTTTTAATATTTATAATAGAATATACATACATTGCAGATGTACATAATTACATTTTCTAAAGTAATAATACGACTAGCATGAAAATGTTTTCTTATAAAATTTGACATTTTTTTCTTTTAATATAATTGCAAGAAATAAATGCAAGAATATATATCTATATTCTTACATTTATATTTATATTTAATAAGTATATTTTCAATTAAATGCTTATGATAGTAAACAATATTGTAACAAACATTTCATATTTCTTTCATTAAGCATTATAATTAAATCATGTTCGTTGATAAGAAATAGATTACAGTATAGAAAAATATTTTATGAAAATAAAATTTGTGTATGTTTCTTATAACACAAATTAAGCATAAATTAAAGATTTTGTAATCAATGAAATTAAAAGCATATAAAAGTAACAATTTTTGTTAAATTACGATCATACATAATTGTTTTTAATTAATACTGTTAAAGCTACAAAATGGATAAAAGCAGTCCACCAGCATCAGAACATTTGGATTATATTATTTTAAGTAAGGCCGTTGATAGTGGAACAATGAGCAGAAAGCCAAATTTATTTCAATGAATTCAAGACATTTTGTTTAAGATTGTGTCTTATGAAATAAGATTGGTAATATTTGGTGTGGACATAAGTTAACAATAGGTGATTTCAATGATGGTCCTACATTATGGAATGTAAGAGAAGCTTTACTAATAATCCAATCATCTATATAATTAAGAAATTTTGTTAAATCAACTTCTACAGATTCAGAAACATTGAAATAACGTAAATAAGAATTGTCATTCCAACACATGTCTAAAGCTGCTTGATGCAAAACCATTCCAATACCTTTACCAGCTCCTTCAGGAATAGGAAATACACGAAAACTGACAACACTTAAATCCGAAGGAAAGTCGTAACGCAGTGGTGAGAAATATGGATTTAAATTAAAAGATAAAGAACTATCTGGATGCAATGCAATTATAGGATATAATAGTTCTTCTGATGCTAAATGACCATATAATGATAGTAATCCTGATGGGTGGTTTGTTGGAGGCGTTGGAAATGTACAAAACGGTTTTCTCTTTTCAAGAATGAACATGAATATATGATTTGTTAATAAATTATCAGTTATACCTTGACCAAGCCCTCTGTTATCATCTTGAAGCAATCTTCTATCTTGCATTATCTATAAAAAAATATTTGATGTATTACAATATTATTGTGTTTTTATATAAATGTGCAAAATATTAAATACATACTTCAATTTGTCCAGATGCCATAGAGCTTACACCTAATGGTTGTGCTGTTACTACTGTTAATCTAATCCTCTTATCCTCTATGTATGTACTTGCTGCCATAGGATAATAGTTTCCTTGTGTAGGAAGTTTTGGAAATCTTTGACGCTTAATCATCTAAATAATAATTATCCTCTTAATATGTTTACCAATGATGATATAATATTTCATATATTTTTACTTACATTAAGGCCATTTAGATCTGTATAGAATTGGTCTCCTGAAGCTATATCTGTGCTAAGTCTCATAGCAAGTTCATAATTTTGTGTTTCTGATATGTTAATTTCATTATGAATATGTAAACCAAGTCCATCAGCACCAGGGGAATTGTACAATGTACAAGTGTGACGTACATGTGCAAATTCTACAAATACTTTAGATACAATGGGTCCAGTTATTAAGTGTATAATACATTTATCCATATATACTAAATCTGGTTCTGATTTATCAGGTAAAAACAAATAAGCACCACTTTTATCTTTGCCAGAATCTCTGGTACCATATTTAACAAATTCTAAGTGAACAGGAACTGTTGTATTACTGACTCTTAAAGCTTTCAGGAGACCGGATTTCCCAAAAGACGCAGATAATTCTGGTCGTTGCGTAATTGAAAATTCTTGTGCATTTGGTATTACTTGAATTTGATCAAAACCCCGTATTTTCGGAAAAATTATGTCTGTATTAAAAACAGTCACATTCGCAAGATGCACTTCCCTATACACAATAAACAATAAAAAGTTGTATTGCAAAAATAAATATTTGGCAATTTAAATAATAAAATAACATACTGTGGGAATGATGATTTAGGTAAAGCATGAATTATGTATGTTGTGATACCAAACCCAGGTACTGTAACTAAGAATGATAACTCATATCTAGCAACAGTTAATGCAGCAGGTCCAATCCAGATTGGAGAGACTTGACATTGGACTGCTTGACCCATTCGGTCAGTAACTCTAACAAATGGAGTAGATACAACCAGTGTTTGTACTTTTGTTCTTTGTCTTGGAACAGAATTATACAGAATAATTTTTTTTAAAGGATTTTCATCTCTAAATATTAGTACATATTTGTCTCCTACACTGGTATGTCGTAATCTAAAGCATAAAAAGTAATTTTTTGATATAATATTTGTTAATTTTCAAAGAAAAAGATACATAGATTTCTTCTCGAACCTAGATTCGTCAAGGGTTATATACACAGCATCTGTATCAATAGTAGATTCTTGTGGAGTTTTTAATAAATGAACTACTGATTGTTGTAATACATGTGCAGAATTATTTAAGGCCTCTATCATCTTCTTAGCATAATCTATAACAACTTCATCTCTAGCAGTTCCAGTTATACCATCGTGATGTTGAAACAAAGAATGCCACATTCTTGCCTTACTTATACGTTGTGCGAGAGTACCTTCTACTAAATTCTCATTACCTTTGGTCCAAGCTATAGTAGTTAATATTTCCGATGCTCTCAATAAACTTAATAATACACGATCTAATCGTTTGTGGAATGGCCTACAATGTATTTAATAAACATGTTGTGGGCAGTGTATTATGATTAATTTTAACTTGAATATACCTTGATGTATAATATCCACTCCAATAATGATCATCTCTATCAGAATATGTAAAAAAATCTCCAGATAAAGTAGGAAATTCGTTTAAATTGTGTTTTTCTCTGATCGCATCAAAGTAATCGCTTAAAGTTCCAAATTTAATTTGAACGTTCATTTGCTGATTCTGATTCATATAATCAAAAAGTTTTTGATAATTATTATATTGAGCATCCCATTCAGTGTATTGTGTATATCTAAAATCATCTCCTAATGGTGCTAATACCACATCCGTTTTAAAAAGTTGGGCTTTCTTACGATATTGATCCAATAAAAGAGCAGCTCTTTCTGCAATGTTTGATTTAGTTATGGCTCTTGGAGCTATTTTCCATGGACAACTCAATCCAAAATTTTGTAATCTATAAAAGTCAAATTGACAACATATTTTTGGATCTGGACCACATGTATGTGGAACGTCATAACTATAGAAAGGCATCACATGTGTAAAGATTTCTGTTGATCCATCATTATCCCATAATTGTCTCCAACGAAATTCTAATTGTTTTTGTTTAGCTAATTTTTTTTTAACTGAATAATGAACTCTTTGTATTAGTATATTTTCCAGTCCTGCTTTTTTCAATAAATATGGCATTGTTGGAGAAAGACCAAATGGATCAATGGCCCAGCCTGAATTTGGTGTATAATCTAAATTATATTTTAACCACTGATGTCCTTCTGTAAGTTGTGTGAGTTGGGATATCCAATGAGAAACAGATTCATCTGGCATGACCCATCCTCCTGATACAATTTCTAATTGACCATCATGAATTAAACGTTTAACTAAATTACGAGTTCTTTTAGGCTGATCTTCCCACCAAAGTTGGAAAAATGATATCTCTGCCCAAATAAATTTACGTTTTCTGTTTTCTGCCAATTTTATTACCATATTATTTAATATATTTTGTGTTTGAAATGCATAATATTTCTCAAAAGTACTAAGCCAACCAGGATCATTGTGAGAATGTGGAACAACAAAGACTTTTAACTTTCTATTTGGATGCCATTGTTTGTCATCATATGTAATATTCCATCCTTGCTTCCATACTCCACCATCCACATTATTAAATTCTAATTGTCTATACATATCTAACATTTGAATGTCTATTACAGGAATTTTCTGTATGTTAAAATTGCATTTAAGTACTTTTCCTAGATGTAAAGAACTAGATGATATAGACTGATTTATAGAATGGACTGTGGGTACCAAATTTTTTGCTTCAGCTACTTCTCTCAATGCATTCATAATTTGTTTTGCATAATTAGCATGATGTTTATTGAAATCTTTTTCCAATTTTGCCAATCTATTCTCAAAGTGTAGCCATTGATTCTGAAAATTAAAAACAATAGGTTATCTTTATTCATTATATGTATATTATATCATATAAATATATAACAGACTTACATCATTAACAGAAAGCTTGGATCCTTGACCAGGTGAGAAAAGTGTTAGATCCATTATTAAATATGTTAGGATACAACAGGCTAAAATTAAGCCTGTACTAAGAATTGCTAATGTTTTCCTAATCCTCATTTTTACTCATTTATTAATTCAAATATAATGTTATTCTAAACTGAACTAATTAATAACATTTAAAGATTAAATCTTTAAGATATTAAACAAAATATAGATATTTTTTTAATACAAAAATTTGATTTCAACTCTGTTTATATGTTCATTTTAAAGGCTACATATTAATTTTTATCAAAAAATTTAATTTTTTTCTTTAAAGGAAGACAAATAAATAATTATAATATTTTTTCATTCATATAACATAAAATTCATTTAAAATAACACATCAGTATTACATTAACTGTTCACTTGCGTTTATATATGCACTCACAACTGCCGCCATATGTTTGCACATAACAAAATATATATGTATTTCTGATACCTACAACAAAACATAATAGACAATAGATATATATTTAAATTTCTTACTTTTAACTTTCTGTATTAAAAATTTACTCAAACATACTTTTAATAATAATTTATTAGTACATGAGTGAGAAAAATACCTTTTGATAAGAAAATTTGTTACTATATTTATAATTTTTATATTATGATATAAAATTGTAAATATGTATAAAAAAGTAAAAAAATGATAAGTACAATCTATAAATATAATTATAAAACAATATAATTATTTAGTTATATATTTATAAATCAAATATGAAAACTTGTTATCAATAACTTTGATATCGATAATTTTAATGTTTACGTAACTATCGATATATTGAATATGAAATTTCTCTAGCTTTATAGTGATTTTCTTTCTTACTTTTTATACATTAAGTATGGCCTCCTAAAATGCAAAACATGACTCAATAAAATCGAAGTAGAATAAGCAAGTTGTTACTGATTTAATAATATACATGATTTTGCATTGTACTGTGTGTTCATTTGTAGACTACATCTACTTGTATTTTTTGTGCTTGTAATAAGATTCTTTAACCAACAATGAACGAGGATCTTACAGATTGTATTTGCAAAAATGTGGATATTCGATTTAATAAATTTATATATAATAAATTGTTACCTTATGAAGATGATTTAAAGATAGAATCACAGACTTTATTAGCCGAAATTAAGGCAAATTTAGGACGAGCTGTTATGTGTAATGAAGTATGGCCAGGCTGCTATGTTTGGGTTAATAAATTATGCCAGTGAGTATATATTTCTATATTATTTTATTATTTAACAAAACTGGTAATTATATTTCAATATAATATAAGCGACAAAATTTTACTAGAAAATTTGAATTCATGACTATTTTTTCTAGTTACATAAACATATATGGATTACACTTTAGCAAAGAAGATCACATCTTACTCATAAAATTATTATATGAACTGGTTACAGCTTCAGAAATACCTACAGCTTCTACATTTAAATGTCTGCTTGCATTACTTTTACTACTGAAGTAAGTTAATATAACTGTTTTATATACTATTATATGAAATCATTATTCATTATAAGAATAATATTTTATTATTATTTTATTATATATTATTTTATTATTTATAGAAAAAAGAAATTAATATCGCCAGATGAGTTAGAATTGCCATGGAGACCCCTTTATAAAATGATTCTTCGTATAATAAAAGCGAAAGAAAATTGTTCTGAAATGTACCGTTTTTGTTCTTTTTATGAGAATGCAACAGCGTCACTTATTATATATGCAAATGTTTATTTTCCTGTAAGTAAATATTTTTCTTAAATGAATTATAACAAGAATCAAAATTAATTTGTCATGATAGTTGAGTGCAACACAGGAAATATTAGATGAACTAAGACCAACTTTGTACTTCATTGATTCTTCAACAATGTTTAAAAGTATACAACTATTACGTTGGTTCTTACCAGTACACTTACCTCCTGAACATCATTCAATTGGATATCAATTATGGTTTGAAGAATTTATGGCATTATGGGAAGTTTGTCATAATGCACCAACATGGGAAAATAAAATGATGAAGTTAATGGCAGCATTAGCTAATTATAATATTGGATACATTAATTGGGAACCTTATATGTCATTGATGTTTACTAGATTTATGCGATGCTTAAAATTACCAGTATCATATAACAAAACACAAAGATATAAACACCATGAAATAGATGCAATTCCTATAACAACATGGATAGTAGCAGTTTTGGTAATATTTTATTTTAAATTAAAGAGTAGATTTAAATAAAGTATAATTTTATATTTTTAATGTTTCTAGGGAAATGGTTCAAGTGCTCAGACATATCTTGAAAAATTTTTGAAAACCATAGAAACATATTTTCATCCTGCTAATAGTGGTTGCTGGCTGGGAATATTAAAAGATATTCTTGTAAACCTATCATTTTATTTTATTACACGCTTGCACAAGTAAGAATTAATAATTTTTTAAATTAACTTTTGTGAGTATGTATATAAATTTATAATATATGTTTGACTTATATTATAGAGAACGGTATGCTGTACAAACTTGGGAAACTCCTGTTCCTGAAGAATACAGATTAACCGAGAATGATGTTGATGCATTTGTTAAAAGCATGATGCCAGTAACCATGGCAGCTATGTTTAATAAGTTAACTGTTCATAAGGCTTCTCAAGCATTACAATATCTTGCCACTATGAGGCCCAATTTGGTTATTCCATATGTTTTAGATAGAGTTTCGTTTACATTAGATTCTCTTACAACAGAATCATATAAATTAATTGCTACATTTAATTGTATGGAAGCTATAGCTAGACCAATGGCAGAAGGATCTAAAAATGTAAATGAAGGTGTGAATAGTACTTTACTTACTATATATTGACATAATTTATTGTTTTCTAGTTTTGTAAATTATAAATTTTTTGCAGGTTATACGTACGCAAAAGGACCGGAACATATATTACCATTACTTTCTTCGCTTCTATCTAGCATTGACCCAAATAATCCAGAAAAGTGCTTTCTTGCAATTCGTCTTATTTCAGTTTATGCCTGTTTCATACCTATTGTGGATACTTCTAAATCAATTATAGCATTAAGTACAGAAGACAGGATGGATTATGAAATAGCTTCTGGATTTGAAGAATTTGTTTTACAATTTTTGGACAAAATATTTTCATTCATAGATCATAGTTCTTTAGAATTGATTAGATTAGAAAATTCTACTGGTGGAGTGAAAAGTAAATTAGAAAAAGCTGCAGGAACTGTGTTGTATAATGTGTGTACGGTTCTGTTAATGCAGATTAATAATTCAGTATTTAAAAAGGCATTAAATAAATTATGCACATTTATAACGGAACGTATACTCGAAATTAAGGTTGCTGGACAATTGGCAGCTGATTTGTGTCGAGTATTTGCCCGAGTTAATGGCAAAGAAACTTTGCAAACGTTATTACCTGTACTTTCACAAACTATTCTAGATATTACTTGTGAAAATAATGATATTATTAAAGAAGAACACTTGGATGATCGTCTTTTACATGCAATGTTGCTTCTATCTGCAATTGTTTGTACAACAGGGAACAATTTATTACATTATATAGATATATTAGAAACAGTTCTTGACCATGTATTAATTTTAAAATCAAGAGAAGGAAGTAATTTAGCTTGTACATTATTAACAGCAATTCTTAATTCATTATCCAGTATGGTACCATACCATTTTACATCTACTGATGGAATAATACACTGGGGACAAATTGTGAATATTAATACATTAAACGTTAAATGGTACATACCTGGTAAGGAAGAAATGGCTACAATAAATCGACTATTCTTGAAATATCTAATTCCTGAAACAAATAAATTAGAAGAATATTGTAAAAACTGGACCATATTAACAAGGTTAATTATTAATCATTTTTATAAAGTTTAATACAATTTATTAAGGGTAAGTATGATAAAATTTGTCATAAATGTGATTTTAGGGAAGAGTTATTGACTAGCTTAAATATTGTAAACAGCGTTATTGAAGGTTGTGAATCTGTTTTACCTGTATGGGAAGAAAAACCAATAAATTTAGTAAAATCGTCATTACAGTGGCTACCTTTCAGACCAACACTTGGCATGGAACATAAAATATCAATGCCTAATGGTGATAATGTTAAATATTATATTAGAACACTTGCAAGTAAATTGCAAAGTGTAATACTAAAGAATACAGAAGGTGATACAAAAAGCTTATTTGCTTTAATAAAGGTATTTATTTAATTATGCTATTCAAAATAATAAGATAGTAAAGAATAATATAAACATAAAATTTATTATTCTAGATTTGGAGTTATCTTTTACTAGGAACAGTATGGGTTTCTAATACTGTTGCACAGTACAAAAATACAGAAAGTGTATACAAAATGATGAAAGATATGTTAGTAAGGAAAAAGGGAATAATAGGATACTTTGTACTACAGCGTGCAAAACTTCAACACGTAATACGTTCATATTCGCAGGTTTCTAATTTAACTGAAACTCATAAAGAAATAATATTAAAATTATTTACACTGGCTACTAGCAGATATGCTGATGTTCGAGGACAAGCTCAGTGCATTCTCTCTAGAGCTTTTCACTATCTACCATTTTCATGCAGATTTATTGTCCCAAAATTACTTGATGTTTTAAAAGAGGATCCAGAAATAGATCATGATGCATATGAAGTAAGACTATTAATAATAATAATAATAATAATAATAAAAATAATAATAATAATAAATAACTTTTAATTCAAAATTCTGTTAATGCTTTTTTCTTTTTTATGTAGGGAGCTCTTCATGTTTTACTTAAATGTCAAGAAACAATTACAAAACATGATTGGAATATATTGAAAGATTTATGGACTGCTATGGTACTTTCTAAACCATCTGAAAAATTATCTATAATCCGTTTGAAGGAAAATATTATGAGATTCATAAGTAAACAGTTTTCTACAATTGCTATTACATTTGAAATACCGAATAAATGTTCGGAAATTGCAACTGTTTTATGGGAAACTAATCCACAACCTACTTTACATCAACCTACGGAAAACGAAGTTACAGAAAGTTTAAAACTTGTTCGAGCGTTTAATGAATGTAATTTAGCATCATATAATGACTTGATAAATAATTTGTTAAATGCTCTTTTGGAAAGAAATTTACATTGGCGACATCGTTTAATGGCAATAGACTTTATTCGACATTTAGCTCATCCAGAACAAATATATTCGCCAAAAGTAGTTCGTTATTTTCTAGAAACATTAATACATGATTCAATAAGTGAAAGAAATATTGCTCTTCGCGTAGTTACATGCATGTTGCAACAACAAAAACGAAAACATCTAAAGGTAAAGGAAACTAACTACTTTAGGAAATGAACTTATTTTGGAATTGACTTCAATATAACTTAAATATTAATTTTTGAATTTCAAGATAACTATTGATCCACCAACATCATCAAATAAAAATAAATCAGAAGAACATCAGCCATTGAAATTCATACTAGGATACAGACCAGACAATACATGGCTTCAATATAACTACGAAACTCGTCCTTTGACTGCAGAACAATGGGATGAACCCAGATTTATTCATCAACCATATATAGGATATTATACATGGCCAAAAAAGATTGAAATATATGTACCATCATCTCAACAGCCATGCCTAGATCCAAATGTACGAAAACTAACAGACCATGAGAAAGAAATCGATCTTTTCTTTAATGATTTACAAAATATCAAGAAACTTATAAAGTTTTATAGTCTTGAAATAAAAAAGGACGACAAATTTAGTTATAAATATCGTTTTTTCAAAGGTCTTTTTCGTAATCATGGAATAGTATTCCTAAAAAATTTTTTGCCGCATTTACACGAGTTAGTACAGGATAAACAAGAAAGTAGCCAAAAATGTGCGGCTGAAATTATTGCGGGAATTATTAAGGGTTCAAAGCATTGGCCATTTAATATGATTTGTGAAATGTGGGATTCTTTGTTGCCAGTCATAAAACTTGCCTTAAATAATTTGACACCAGAAACTCTGGAGGATTGGGTTCATTGTTTTTCTATAGCTCAAGAACATAGAGATCCAAATAGGCAACATTGGTTACTGGAATGTCTAATGGAAGAAGTTTATGTTGGTGAATCAGGACCGTCTTTTATTGAATCTGGCCGTCTATTTATTTTGCAAACAACTCTTACTAAACAATCATGGCGCGTTTTAGAATTATTACAACGTTTGTTGAAACGGATAGAAGATAGATTATTAGCAGATCCATTTGAAAATGTGAGAGACTGTTTGAGTTCTACTTTAGTAACAGTATTTACAGGCTTAAAAACTTCACATATTTCAAACAATCAATCAGTACCACAAATTCAAGAATTCATAAATAAAATTATGCCGAAATTACCTCTTATAAATAAAGAAAAGGAAAGAGCAATTCGATTACTTAAAACAATTTGTAAATGGATTGTAAATATGTCTTGTACATGGTATGGTTTGCCACCAGAATTATACCAAATATTTCCAATTATATATCAAATGGAAACTTACGAAACGGATGAAGAATTGCAAAAATCGTGTACAGTTGCTTTAACAGTATATGCACAAACGTTTACTTTACCATGTAATATGTCAATAGTCTTGGAAGCAGTAAAAAAAATGTCAAAAAATGTTTCTTGGTGGACAAGATCTGCTTGTTTGGAATTTCTCCAGGCTTGGGTATTTTACAATATGTATACATTTTTAAGTAATCCAATGTGGGTTACTTGTGTTAAAGATATAGTTTTACATTTATTGGAAGATGAACGAGTTGAAGTAAGAAAAACTGCTGGTAATGTTCTTAGTGGATTAGTGCATTGTATGTTTATACCCGAACAAGAATGTTTATTGGTAAATATATTTGAAATATTTGATGATAATTGTAAATATTAATTACAAAATATTTTTATGGTTATTCACAATAATTTTGTAAATAAGATTCTTTAATTTTTTTTAGGATGAATTCAAAAAAAGGGCAAGAAATAAAATACATAAAAACTTAAAATTTGATACTTTACGTATTCGTCACGCAGCTATAATAGGAATGTGTGCATTTATCCAGGCTCATCCATATGATGTACCAAAATATGTACCTCCAATCTTTGAACATCTTCGTGCTCATATGAATGATCCACAACCCATACCAGTTAGTATCTAATAAATTAAAATTATATAAATGTATCTCATTGAATAATTAAATTTTTTTGAACTACAGATGACAATTAAAAAAACTTTAGATGATTTTAAGAGAACTCATAATGGATGGGGAGATGTAGAGGAATATGTACAACATTTTACAGAAGAACAGTTAATTGTATTGCAAGATTTAATAATGCCTCCATCTTATTATGCCTAACTATTACATAATGAAAAGTTTTTTAGTAATAATAATATAAAAATTGTGTATATGATATTTAATAAAAAATGATCGGTATTGCACTATGAAGATATATGAAATATAATATAAAAAGAATACAAAATAAGCTATTTATTTAATTGAAAGCAGTCTTTTATATTTGTATAAGTTTAATACAAATTATTATGGTTTCGTTAAAACAATATATTTAAATATTTTGTTATTAAGTTAAGCATTAAATAAATGGTAATTTATAAAATTTAATGAAATAAATTATATTGCAATTTCATTTGTTATGTATTGATACAATAATTTGTTATTATAATTATGTTACTATAATTTGAGAAAATTAGGTTTATTTTAATTATCATTAATTGATTAACAAATTAAATGTTTATAAGCAAATTCGTATATTTGAGATAGTTTTTACTTTCTTATATTAAAAAATTTAAAAAAATGAATGTTATATGAAATAATATGTTACTTAGAAAATATTTATGCTAAGTATGAAACTTTTTAATTAAAATATTAAATCTACTATTGCGACATAGGTTAAAGGATACAATCTCAATCATTTACAAATCTAGTAACTTTATTCTTTTCATTTAATCAGTTATACACGATACCAAGATAACAAATCAGTAAAAATGAACGTTATTATCTGACTTGCAAATCTTTTGAAATTGCAATTCGAAATTCTATATAGACATGACATAGCAATTTTGATAACAATGACTTTTAAGTTCTTAAAGTAGATATCGAATTTGCAGTATCTATCCAATAGTAGTTGTATCACCATGAATCGAATAGTGATATTTGGAGCTACAGGAAACACCGGATTATGTGCTTTAAATAGCGCTATAAATAAGGGTAAAGTGTTATTTACTTTTTACCTCATTTATATACGTCGGAAAAAATTTTAATTATCCTAAACTAAGTAGTGGTGAAATTTTATAAATAGTTAATGTTATCATGATCAATTGTATTTAGTTTTGTGTATAGCTCTTTTCTGGTATATTTATAATTTGTAAATAGCTAATAGATTTATATTCTGTGTAATTTACGAAAATGATTATATTATATTTGCACTTAAGAAAGTACAAATATTAAATACATGAAAAATTAAATTAGATCATATACAAAATTAATTTTACTTTCTTATCTAATAATTATATTTAAAAATATAGGATTAAATGTTAGAATATTTGTGAGAGATGAAAGTAAGGTTCCAACGAATTTAAAAGAAAAAGTCGAAATTATTGTTGGAGATATCACCAATGGAAAACAAGTTTCAAATGCGGTATCTAATAGGGATGCAGTGGTTGTTGTGCTTGGTACAAGGAATGACTTGAGTAAATATCACTTTTCATATAAACTATTAACTTTTTAATTCAGCTTAAGTTCAATTTTCACTTTAAATTTTTATTTAGGTCCAACTACAATATTGTCCAATGGTATGAAAAATATAATAGATGCTATGAAAGTGCACAATGTAGAATTAGTATCTGTTTGTTTATCAGGTAAACTTTTGTGTAACTTTCTTACTTGCAACAATTTTATGAAACATTATTATTTTGTTTGCAGCATTTCTGTTTTATAAACCTGAAAACGTGCCCACTATATTTAAAGATTTAAATGCAGATCACCAGCGTATGTTTGATCTTCTCAAAGAAAGTCAATTAAAATGGATTGCGGTATTACCACCTCATATTGCAGGTATTTATTATATTAAATATTGTTATTTATAATTTTCTAAAAAGTTATTGACACATATTTTATAATTAGAGAATCTTAATACTTATTTTGATTATTTGTAGATGTACAAAATTCAAAATATGTGATCAAACATGATGAATCTCCTGGTCGGGCAATTTCCAAATATGATTTAGGTGCTTTTCTTATTGAAAGCCTTCAACAAGCAGAACATTATCAAAAAGTTTGTGGTATTGCTAATATTTCATAATATAACAAAAACTTACATACAAATCAACATTTTAATTTTTTTTCAATAATACATTTTATGTGTACAAAATTTAAAATATTTTAAAGAATCTTTTCCATTTTTTTAGAAGAATAAAAAATAAATAAATTTATCAGAATAATTTCTAGTTTATACAAATGTATTGCACTGATACTAATGAATTGTACAGTTGTTAGATAATTTTTGTGATTTTGAACATTTGTTGGAATGATTATAATGTATGTTTTGAGATATATGAATGAGATGTATGCATGAGAAATTCCATAGTTAAAAGTAATTACAAAAATAATTTTCTAAATAAATAAATAAATATACATGTGGAATATAAAAGAATCTTGTAGAAGTAAAATTGACTGTCACTGTTTATGATCATAATTTTTTCACCATGTGTGTTCTATGTGTTGTAACACCTAAATCATAGAATTTTGGCATCTGAAAATTTGGCATTGGAGGTGGTGGTGGACCACAACATTGTGTACTTTTCTCTTTAAGTTTTGCTTTAGTAAATGCTGCATTAGAATATACAACATCATTGATTCCTGATGCTTTAAATGGATCACACTCTTTATATCCATTTTTAAAGTAAAAAACTTCTTGGCCTTTAGTGATTAAATATACATTTTTAATTCCTTTCTTTGCTACATATTCTTCAACACCTCGTAATAGTCTAGATCCAAGTCCTCGAGATCTACATTGATAGTCAATTAATACTGAAATATGAAATAAGAAATTGAATAAATAAAAAAAGAATAATTTTCTTCTTTTTTTATTTTCATTTTTTCTTTTTCTTAAAGTAACCGTACTCACCCGATTGTATAAAACAACTGTTACGTAATCTAGGTATCAAAGATATTTTACAATGACCAAGGACTCTGTCTTCTTTATCAATAAGTATAAAACATATGGGAAATTCGTCACATGATACATTTAGAAATTTTAACCTATTTTACACAGAAATTCATTTAATTTTTAAATAGATTATTTTATAATTAATTATTATAATATACCGTGCAGTTTCACTTCTTGGCCATTCAGAATTCAATAATGTACAACACTCTGGAATTAAATCTGGTCGTTTATGAAGTGGTACTATTTTATAATCCTTTTCAATAGTGGACATAATTTTTCTGTAATTATAAATTACAGTAATATAATTTAACAAAAAAGCTGTTATACAATTTAATTTAATTTTTCTTTTAACATTTCAAAAAGAAATCGATAAAAATTTCCTATTATTTATAGTAATAGTTATTGTAATATTGTAATATAGTAATTGAAATATTGAAATAAATTAAAAACGTACAAAAAAAAATATAATTATAACGAGAAGTTATAAAAATATATGTAGGTTTTGTGACATTACATAAAATAGCTATTTTTGTAATTATGATCATAGCTATACAATTCTAACTTCTTTGAGAAAAGAGCTAAAACTAATTCATTATTACTAGAAAAATATTGAAGATAAAATCTTTTCGCATCATAAGAAAAATAACGATACGACCAAAATTATTACAATATTTTTATACAAATTACGATGTAAAAATACTGGAAAAGAATTTATTAAATAGAAATAATGTATTATTAAGTGCATATTTCATATTCAAAACGTTATAACAAAACATGTTTAAATAAAGCGAATGTGTTCCTGGCATATATATAATTGAATTCTTAGATGGAAAAATGTACAACAACCTGTAATTGACAGGTATCGAAAAATAAGATGTAACATGTGGTGACACATGTGTGTAATAAATAGATTGCTGTAGATATGCTTACCGTATTTTTTTTAATTGAGTGATAAGAACTTAACTCGCAAGTTTAAAGGTCACTGTACATCGCTTATATGTATCTCGTGTGGAAATAGCTTTGAGATTAATATCATCTTGAGCCAAGAATGATACTTCTGTACAACATATCCCCACTATTATGTAAAATTTTTGGTGCACCCAGTGCTGTTACAAAATACAGCACTCCACTCGAAGGTATTCTCCTACCAATATACTGCTTTTATCTGATAATCGCATAAAATTTCTGATTTTAATAGAATTTTATACAATGTTTGTAAGAAATATTGTTCTATTACTTTTTAGTACATTATTTTAATTAATTGTTTTATTCCTTATAAAAAATTTCTTAATTTATTTTTTAGTAGATCGATTTAATCTATTAAAATAAAATATTTGCGTATGTGTGTGTGTGTGTATTATGAAACATTAATATATATTGATAAAGCTATTCATTTTTATCTATTTTTTAATAAATTAATTTAAAATAAATTTTTTGGAAATAATTTATTCCCTACTTTATTTTTATACATATTTATGTATAAAAATGTGAATAGTTATACATTTTAATAATTTGATATATGATATACAAATTTTCTTTTATATTTAAAGTATTTCACTAGGACATGTCCATGACCCATTCTCTTGCAAACGCGTGCATCTTTTTTAGTATTTGACCCATTTTTTTAATAGCCTCTGTTCTATATGTGAACAATGTCCTGCATTCTTTACTTTGACAGTGATGGTCAATAACGTTTTTGAATGATACAATTTTAGAGATGCACAAAGAAAAATAATACAGTTTTTTTATATTTATTATCTATGAAAATAAATAAAATGAATATTGATAAATCGCCATATATTTCTTATTTCTTCTTTGTTATTACCTCGAATTAAAAATCTAAGTATTTAAGTTATTTGAGAACCATCGATGATTGTAGTTGGTTTATTTGCATTTCATCTAAGTTTTGAATAATGTTTAGATTTAATATTTAAGTCCAATAAATGGTATTTATACAAATTGTTTAAAAATATGTTTTTAATTACATAACATTGTAATAATATTGTTAATAACATTGTTAATAATACTGTGTTTGAACTTCAATAAGAGTGCAATGCATAAATGGTATTAAATGCAATTATGTAAATGAAAGAAATATTTTAAATATTTAATAATCATATAATTTCTAAGACAAAGATGTTATCTGGACGACCTCCTGTAACAGGTAATAATATATAAGAATAAATTGAAGTTATTAAAACTTAAACTTGTTTATGTTCTTTCTAACCTTCTATTCATTATTTGACGCAATCGATAGAAAATCCTTTAGGATTGTCTTGGCATGACAGTGCATGGATTCCTGTGTTAAATCCAAATAATATTATGGATTATTTTTCTGAAAGAAGTAACCCATTTTATGATAGAACATGTAATAATGAAATTGTTAAAATGCAGCGTTTAAGTCCTGATCAATTACAGTAAGTGAAATGAATGAAAGTTCATTCAATGTATAAAAGTTCAGAAAGTTTATTCAATAGTATAAAATATTACTAATAATTAAATGTTTAATTTCAGAAATATGACAGGCCTTGAGTATATACTTTTACATGTACAAGCACCTATTTTGTATGTGATTAGAAAACAACATCGACATTCACCCACTTTAGCAGCACCACTTGCAGATTATTATATTATTGCTGGTGTTGTGTATCAAGCTCCTGATTTGGCATCAGTTGTGAGCTCTAGATTGGTGCTTATGATTTATTTAAAATTTTACAAATATTATCTAAGGACAATGTTAATTTAAAGAGTTATATTTTACAGTTATCAACGGTACATCACTTACAGTCTGCTTTTGAAGAAGCTAGTTCATGTTCAAGGTATCATCCTAGTAAAGGTTATTACTGGGATTTTAAAAATGGGAAAGCCATGGCAGCAAAGAAAGAGACACCTGTTCGAGAAGAACCGAGTTCTTTATTTCAGCGCCAAAGGGTAGATATGTTACTTGCAGAACTTACACGAAAATTCCCATTACCTGTTCCAAAACCAGTCCACCAAGCTATAGAACCTTGTAAGTGCTTATTTTGATACTTTTTTTAAAGTATTTTAAATATAAAAATAAATTTTATTTAATTTTTTAGCAATAGAAATTAAACAAGAAGTTAAAACAGAAAAGAAGGATATGAAACCACCACCAGAAAAGAAACCAAAAGTTAATTAATAAAAATTTGTGGTTTAATAATAATATAAGACTAATAAATTTCATGTATATAATGCATTTTATGATCATTTTCATTCTATGAAATAGATATTTAGTATAATTAATTATATTTCCTTGATTGTAGAATGAATGCAATTCATATGGTTCAATTGGTATGTATGTACATGTATTCTGACGAATTACTGAATTTATACAGAAATTCAAATTAAAAAATGCAAGACATTTGTCATTTTTGTCTATTCTTGCACCATTGATAATCTGGATTATTCATTTCTTTATTACATTTCTTTTAATGCATTTACCAAAAAAGATAGTATTTGAACAATTTATTTTTTCTTATGTAGATGGAGGATGACCTTAACGTTTTTATGCTCGAATTAAACGAAAATATCTTAAAGTAGCATCTTATCTGATCTATAAAATTACACTATGTTTTTATAATTATTGAATGAAACTGAACAATATTTTGCTACAAATTTTCATATTGATTTTTACAACCGATTTAATGTGATGCATTGTGTTAAATTTTTAATTAAAAAAGTGGTTATAAAAATATTTTAAGCCGTCAAAATTACATTAATTAAATATATTAGTATTTCAACTTTTTTTTTAGAATTTCATTTGTAATTTTCTATTATGCAGAAGCATGCAGATGGTATGTAAGGTAAAAAATGATATGTGATGGAAATACGTGTATTGAAAAGTATGTAGACGAAAAAATATATGAACAAACCATCTGTGATACTGATGAAGATGAATTTATACGAAATTTGAAACATGAGAAGTGTAAAATAATCCAATTAGTTCGTCGGCAAATAAATAAATTTTACGATATTCAAGTAACGTTAAATATCAATGAAAATTTTTAGTTCAGAATTTGTTTAAATTTCGAAGAGGAATAGTATGAATTTTTTCTCTCAGTACAAGATATCGCCAATGCGAAATGAATGGCAAAGAAGATATATGCAAGAATCGCAGGATATTTCACAAGATATGAATAAAAAAGCAAACATTATGCCGAGAACTTTACTTATGCAAAGTTCAATGTCAACTGGTCAAGCATGGTATCTAAGTATCTTAGGGAAAATTCGGAAAAGAATTTGTGTGATAATATTGATTGCTGGAATTATCGCGTTGGTGATATCAATTTACGGCATTTATTTTCGCGCATATCTTTGTAATAATGGAAAATCTTGCGTTACATCTCTTCAATATACTTACGTGCAGCATGCATTATTTTAAGTATGCACGATAGAGACAAGAGATTAAGATGACTTATTGGAAGAGATAATGGATATTGTCGTAATTATGGATGAAATTTTTGATAGAATAAGAAAACCATCTAAGACTTGACACAAAATATATTAAACTTGGAATAATACACCACGTGTAGCGTTTAGTTAGTATGCAACTAGTCTTGACAATTTCTAGATTGTTTTCAGTTCCATAGGTTTTTCAATGATGAGACATTTGACTTGTAAGCAGTGTAATATGTCGTAATGTTCGTACTATGCCGTTTCTTCGTGCAATGTACACCAACTCGACCGGGGAGGGGGAGGGGGACCAGTTGCAATTCGTTTAATGTTCATTCTCGGTATCAACATAATAATTATACAGTACGATCGTTTTTTTAGGCTTTGAAATATCTGTCCTCTTGATATGTTTCACTCGTTCGTTTTCTTTGATACTTTTTAGACACAACTTTCTGGACCTGGTATAGAATTGGCGATAATGATCTCCTTCATTAAATTACGATCAGCTTTAAAACTAATAGGTTCCCAAGATTTTGTGGAGAATGGATTTAGCTGTAAAAAGATTGGCAAAAGAACAAATTGTATTAATACTATTAATTATTATAAATATTATTATATAGTACTATTTGTATACTTACGCTGCATCTGTTACTTTGAAGTCCTTGTTTATGAATGTCATACGGTGCAAACAGCGTGTCTGGTCGTACAGGTAAAAATAATTGTGGTTCGCGTTTTATTTTTTCTTGATCTATAATAAAATCCATTAAGTTATTTTATACACGAATTATGTTATACACAAAGATAAGGACAAAAAAATTTTTACCTTGCGGCGATTGAATGATGTCTGGTTGATTGTTGAGAGCATAATCAGTGACTTGTTTTAATGTGTATTCGACAAAATAAGTATGATCTCCATGTGTAACATCGAGCATCGAATTATTCCTCGAATCCGGAGGAGTAATTATCGGTTGTTTCATATAAGGCTCAATATGAACTGGAGATGTGGTACCCCTGCGGCGATACATCATTAACATCACTGAAAGTACAGTGACACCGAATGCCATTAGGCAACCGATAAGAAGTAGAATAAGTGGAACCATGCTCACTCCACTATCTAAAATAAAAGATTACCAATGGCAATTAAATACTCAATATCTTTGCTATTCTTTAAAGTTGTTGGTAAATATAATTTTATAATCTTTTGAATTTTTATTTTTTACCTGTATGTTTCTCGGAATCCCTCAACATTATATCCTCTAACAAACTCACTTCACTTCTTCCTTTCGCGTTCACAGCATAAGTAACAAGGTAAAAATGTGTCGCTGGAAGAAGATCTGCCACGGCGATCCTAAATATCGGTACATCAGCGGACACGCTGGACGCATTCACCCTTAAATTACCAGTAAGAACTTCATATGCCTCTAATCGAAACTCTTGTCTTAGTCCACCGTCATATCCTGGTACACATTCCACTTCCAAGATCTCGGAACTTTGATTTAGAGATGCTTTTATTGTGCAATTGTTCAAAGGATTTGGTTTTACTAGAAATGTATATCAAATTGGTTTCTTTTCTACACAGAGTAGATGTCTGTTATTAGTTATTCAAACATAAAAATTACCTGCTGGAATAATTTGATAGATACATGGCACTTCCTGCTTTCCAATCTCGTTTCTACCCCAACATGTTAAAGCTCCATAATCTCTTTCAGATACTGGCGTGTAGATAAGTTCACTCATTGTTCCATTATTACCGTCAAATTTTGCTGGAGCAACTTCAAAATTCCCACCGCTATTGTTGAACTCCCAGACGAATTCTACTTCATTAGGGTCAGCATCTACTTCGCAACGGATTTTTACCGATTCTTCCAACGATGCTCCGATGATAGATACTTCTTTCGCTTTGCACATTGGTGCAACTAAAGGTCAGGATAGAAAAAAAAAAACAGATAAAAAAGAAAAAGATAACTATATCATTTAATATACAACTTATTCATGAATTATTTTTTATAGTATCTATATTAGAATTGAAACTTACATTGCACTCGTAAAGTTACTACTGAACTTGTTGTTTCACCTCGATCATTACTAGCAAGACATGTATAATTTCCTGCATTGTCTCGACCTATCTTTTGCAATACCAGACTCTGAGTGCTCATAATTATTCCAGCCGAGTAATTTTGCATTAACACCGCATCCTATGATTATTTGATAGTTATTCGATAATTATATTAATTACTATAATCAATACTATAATAAGTAAATTAGTAGTAAAATATTCACGTTATGTTTCCACGTAATTTTATGGTGTTCTGGATTGGCTCGAACTTTGCACTCGAAATAAACGTCATCACCCTCCTTTATTTTTTCTGCATTTAGAGTGCTACCCAAGTGTAATTGTACTTTAGGTGGAACTGTGGAATAGATATCCAATTATTGTTTGAATATTATTGTTACAAATTTGATAGTACTTACAAACTACGTTTAATTGAAAGAAGTCTTCTAGATATGCGTCTGGCAGTTTTGGATTTTCTCCTCGACACTTGAGGATCTTTCCGTGATCATCGGGGATCGGTGAAAATATGAGGGTGCTTAAAACCACCGAGGTATTACCACCATTGAGCACCTACATAATTGCAACTTCCATGAATGAAAATATTAAAACACTTTTTAAAAATTTGTAGCAAACATATACTTCGCCACTGCGATAAATGTTGTTTCCTTCCATCCAAGTAATTTCTGCTTGAGGATGTGATCCTGTTGTTTCACATATAATAGAGTAGTCCTTTTCCGTTTCTAGAACCGTTGGTTTTGACAAAATTTTCACCGACAGTGGCTTCACTGAAGCAATAAAGTACCGTGATATTGCGTAATATTATTAATTTTTATAATATTAATATTTAACACCTACGATAAACATCTAAGACAATAGTTTTTTCTAATGGAGGTATTAGATTTGTGCTCCAGGCTCGACATTTGTAAGTGGTGTTACGGTGTTCCCTTCTCAATTGAGGTACTGTTAATTTACTGACGACTACATTTTTTCCAATTTCCTCCAACTTACTGTCCACCTCTTTCTCATTCACAAGCCAACTGACCACTGGTGTCGGTTTGCCTATGTTTAAAGACATTTAAAACTCAACTTTACCAAATTTAATACTATTCTAATAGTTTTAAATAAATAAGCAACTAAGAATTACCTCCCCTTACTTCGCAGGATAGACCAAACTCTACACCTACTTGAAATGGTCCTGCGGTATTCTCCACTACAACTCCAGAGCTGTCGTAGATTAAAAGCTGATAAGGTGGAACTAAAAATAATTTAGAAATAATTCGAAAAACTTTAACAACTTCTTTCCATACATCAAACGTTTCATCAAATTTGTATACACGAACTCGTACCTATTACAGTGAGGTTCACTTGAAAATTTTTTGTGGGTGAATTTTTAAAATCTACTCTGCACCGGTAGATTCCTTCATCATCCAATTGTACTGCTTCCAAGGAAAGTGTAGCCGGTTTCGTTACGGTAACGAAGTATGCTCTCGGTCCAACCACGGTGTTGTCCGACCAATTCAGAGCTTTGTTAAATGCTCTTCCTCGCACGTCGAAACTGAAACAACCTATTATTTGAATTCTGTTTGGATTAATTCGTATTCTCTAAATTGCGAGTTAAACGGTACCTGTAGATTGGTTTCACGGCGTCATCGCGAAACCAAAGCACCATGTATACACGATCTTCGCGCGTGGACGGTTCAATGTCACAAGGCAATCTAGCGTTACGTCCAAGAACAGCGCTGACTTCAAAAGTTGCCACTAACGAAGAAAAAAATAAGAATTATGTTCACATATGGTTCTTTGAAAATATTTAAGAAATGCGTAAAATAAATCTGTCTTTAGCGAAAATGGTAAAGATTCTTATCTATGTAGTAAGTAGTATAAGTAAATATATTAGCTAGCTGGTCAGACATGTGGTTGATAAACGTATACAGAAGCTACTTAGGGCACGGCAATTTTGAGTATTCGAAATGAATACCAAGCATTCGCGTTCCAAATTGTTCCACATAGTTGGATATCTATTTAAGTAGAAGCGACCAATACTTAGTCAGACATTTATATCTGACCAATACAAATGTAAATAAATTACACAGATATACTTTCCCTCGCAAATTCTTTTTCCAATCGAAAAGTAAACACTGTAGAAGCTCCCATCTTTAACAAAATCTACAAATTCTATTTTAAAATATTTATTTTCCATAAAATTTCGCCGCATAATTTAACGTACCTAGATCATCGTCCTTATCCCAATTGCCGGTGGCGTTCACGTACACGACCACGGCTAGTATGTAGCCGCTGATGATGAGCTTGATCGCGATATCAGCGAGCGCACCTATCGCCATCCCAAGGGGGAACGGTCTAAGGGGTAAGTTCGGTACATTCAGATCAGCTCTTTGCATAATGTCGCCCCGTGCCGGCCTGTCCCGTGGTTCTCCTTTATTATCATTCCACCTCTTGAGGTAGACGGCCTCCTCCCACCTCCACCGTTTCGTGTGCGATGCCCTCGACGAACGTACGATGTTTCAACTCTCTCTCCCCCACTCTCTCTTTCTCTCCCTCGAGTAATGACAAAGGGACAGGGCGCAGGACACGCTCACCGATTAATTCTACCGCCGTAAGAATCTTTCGGCAGAATATTCTTTGATCGTTCTCTGCTTAAAGCGTGCATCGAGAACGAATCGTTTTGCGAACGAGAGAACTTTCGTGTTAACCAATAATGGACACTTTCACGTTCTTTCACACTATTCCCGTTGCATTTGTCTCCATCGATGAGTTACGTCGAATATAAGGCGTCCTTCGTGCCCGATTCATTTGCTTACATCGATTCAGGAGGTTGGAAAGCGCGGTTGAAATAAACCTCGATGGTTTCGGTTAGTAGGTCGTGTACAAACGTGTTCAAAATTATTGTCGTTTCACGAGCGTAGAAGCGCCGGCTCCTTATTAACCCGTTGATACGCTTCGACAATGGCGATAATGATTAGGACACTCTTATACTTCTCTTACACCTGACGTGCTCGTTGAACATAATCACCACTTTCATGGTGAACAGTATAATATATCTTATAAGCTCGTCGAATTTTCACGATGAAAACCTTTCACTGCACTGTGAAGGAATTAGCACATTCTTCCTTCTTCCACGTTCCCCTGTTTTACTTTCGTGGAACTCCGACAACATTCGTTTCTTGACTTCGTCGGCTATCGAGAGAAGGTCTAGGAAAGAGTTTGCAGAATCACCTTCCGTTTACGCGAACACCGTTCTTTTGCACTGTTTCGCGAACTGACTAGAAAGAACGTTCGTCCATTTCGGGAAATGCAAAAGCTTTCTCGACATTTGGAGGGTTGTTCTCTGGC